ACCATTAACTATTAACTTACAATATGGTGGTACTCCATCTTGTTGAAAACCATAACAATTCCATAAGTTCTTCGAAAATCACATTGAACAGTTGTTATCAATTAGCACTGACTAAAACAGAGGACGCAAAACGCTATTTGTGGCGGAGTCGTCCATTTCGAAACAAGCTAACGGCAGTTCATTAATTATTACAAAATTTATCAGCAACATAAAATAAACATAACTCTCTTTTTTTCTAATAGTTTATAGGTCGTTAAATTGCGACTAACGATTGCTGAGCTATAGCAGTTAGTAATTAGATAAATACTTTTGAAACACGTTATATATTTGGTATCTCCAAAAGAGATCCTAAGAAAAATAATCGGAAAATTTGTTTCTTTTCAACAATTTTTTCTTTTTACTCGTCTCTTTTAAAAAATAATGATCCAAAATAGGGTGCTAAAATGTATAAAATATCTGAATTATTATCTTATCTTTATTAAAAAATAAATTGTTAAGATTTTAATTAATATTAGCCACAAGTGATAAATTTTTATTACATTGGAAATAATTATTTAAATAACTCAAATTTTTTTTGTTAAGATAATAATTCCGATTCATAATCTGGTAAGGTCCTGTTATGTATGAAGTCCGCCAGGATTCCTGCTTTTACTTATTTAAAGATTTAGTATTCAAAAATCTATATTAGTAGGATTATATATATAATTTGAATATGAAAGTTGTGGATAAATTAATAAATAATAATTATTTATAAAAAAAATCTGAATTTTTAATTATTTTTTAAGATTTTAAAGTTGAGAAATGATTAATTGAAAATAGCTTTTATTGATATTTTTTTATAGAGTCGTGCTTTTAAAAAGTTATCCATTAGTGGAATTTAAAAAAAAAAATCAAGAAATTTTTATAAATGTTTACTTTAGTTTGTAAAATCAAAGCATATAATATTTTATTTATATATATATATATATATTATTTAAATTAATTATTTGAGTAATATTTTAATCCTAATTTGAGTATTTTTAAAATATTAACATTATTTATATTAATATTTAAATATATTTTGATATAATATTAAGTCAGTTCCTTAGTACGGTCCTTAGACCTAAATAATTTTTTGGGTTACCGTAGGGTTTCGTTTTTATATTTTTAATAATTTCAATAGGGGTTTAGTTTTTAATAGTATTGTTATTTCGGTTTAGAAAGGGTCACCCTGGCCTAGTGGGTAGAAACGTATGTTTTGGCTCACAGGATCCTTGTTCGATCTCCAGGGTTGCCAACGAGATTTTAGCTTCGATGCGAAGCAGAGAAGGTATTGGTTTTACTATGATGTGTTTTTTTTGTGTCCGTTACCACTTTTTCTCAGCTTTCACCAAACGGATTTCTTTCAACGATACGTCAAAAAATCACAAATCGTATCTAGTCGAAGACATTAACCTTAAAAATTGAAAAAATTTCCCTCGTTCCCCGTAAATGGGGAAAACCTCCAAAAAAATTACAAATTTAAAATTCGCTAATTTTTGAAATTTTTTCGATTATTTTTACTAAAAATTGCAGTAACTATTTCAAAAATTAACATATCAATATAATTTTTTTATATATATGCTTGATGTCTTTACCTATCATTTGGTATATTTTTTTTGTAAATCTGACACTTAACCTGCCCACAGAGGGGGATTTATAATGACAACTTTTTCACAAAAAATTAACTTTTTCAACTTAACTTTTGAAAATGTTCCGGAAGGTCTGACACTATTACATATATCTTAAATTATAGCTAATGTAACGTAGTTTATTATGGAAAAATTTGACCTCTGGACTCTTCTTCGTGGTGAATATGGCTACCGAATGCTATTTTTGTGTGAAAATTCTCGATTTTATTTTTTCATTTTTAACTTTATAATGCTATAACTTATTGAAAAGTGTATGGATCAACACAATTTTTTTATGAGAAATAATATTTTTTAATAATCCCTTTTTCATTCGACATACTTTATCTTAATCAGGATATTAATAAGGAACTAGCAGATCATGTAGCTTTTGGAATAATACACCAATTTTTTAAAATTAAACACTATCTAAAGATTTGCATCGAAGCGTTTTTTTTTTATAGTGATTTTAATCACTGTCAGATATCATTATACTTGATCCAACTATGCCATGTTACCACTGTGCCGCGACCCCCCTGTGCTGGGTTTTTTTTTTGTAATGTTCTTATTGGTGGTGTCTGATGAAAGCCGGCCATAGTAACCGTCCCTTCCATTATTGGGTTAGCCAAGAACCATCTTTGACACCCTAACATGTAAATGAGGGCCATCACTCTCTGTATCATATTAAGTTTGGAAAATAGAAGAATGTAAAACTGATCATTATTTTATGAATATTTCGGTTTTGGTTTCGATGTTGGTTAATAAAGATTTAAAACGGTCTTTAAAAAATTTTTTAAGTCATTAAAATTTAATTTAGTAAAATTAGATTTGTGAGTAATTAAACGACGTTAAATATACTTTATGTTGGTAAAAAAATTGTAAAAAGTAAAAATTAAAAAATATTTTATACCTTTAATAAAGAATTTTCATATATACATCTGCTCAGTTTGGCATTGAACCTAAATGAAGATTATTATAGTAATAATAACAAATATATGTATAATTTTGATTAACAAAGGACAACCAAAAAATTATAATCTATTGCAAATATTTATGACTCAATAAGATTTCTCAAAAGGTAAAGAGATATAGATTAAAGTAATAACAAAAATTATTAATAAGCTTGTGGTTAATACGAGTGACACGTGTTCAATTATTGTCTACAATATAGCGGCAGATTAATTTCAAAAATGAACTTTAATAAATAATGACAGTCATAACATAATATGTATTTAACAAAAAAAGGTCGTATATTTGAAGAAAAATGACTCATTATTTATTAAATTTAATTATTTTTATCACACAAGTGATTACTAAACATTTAATAAGAAATATTAATACATTTCAAAATAATAATAACAAAAAGTAAACATAATACATAATACAATTGAGAAATACTGATACATATTTCAAAACTCAAATAACAAAATATACCAACTAAAAATTATGCTGAAATTTTGGTTTTATATTAAATTTACTGTTTTTGAAGATTTTTTTAGATTTTATATGATTTTTGGTATTAAAACCGGTTTTTTAAATTTTAGTTCTTAGCCCTGTACAAAATATTAAATGATTTCTAAGATTAATATTATAACGCCATTTATAAAGCTGATAATGACATAATATTATTCTGTACTGTATTTTATTAATAAAAATAATAAATGTTCTGTCAACAATTTTACAGTATACATGTGTTTCTATTAGTTAGGTTTTTAAATGTTGTAAATTATTGCTTAAAAAATTAGACACTAAATTAATACCACACAGTTATATTTTTAGAAATTTGACACATACACAATACTGAAAAATACTACAAAAGCCTATTGGTTCATTAGTTTGTCATTTTAGATTATAAAAACTGTATACTAAAATCTTTAAGCACAACCTATTTTTTCTGTGTAAAATATATTAAAAAAGTGTTTCTTAAATGATAGTGCCATTGTTAGATACTAGTAGGTAAGATATGTTTCACTGTAAATTAAATGTTATCATAATTCACAAAATACGTAGGCCTAATTTTTTTTATTGAAAATGGTACTTTAAAAGCAAAAATAAAACAATTTCTTATAAAACATTTTTGAAGCTTCTTCAATTTGAAAAAAAAATGGATACCCTACTGTGTTCACTTTTAGTCCTCATATATATTTAAACCTAATATTTTAAATTATATTGGACTCCTGAATTAATTACAATATGATAGAATTGTTCAATATTTAATATGATAATTTCACCCTAAATATACAGATTTTAATTTCAATTACTATAATTGGGATAAGGGAAGTTTTGTCAATTAAAAAATTATGAACTATTATCATTAATATTATGATTTTATAGATTATTTCAAACATAGAAAAGTTGATTAATAATTGTTTTAAGGGTATTAAAATTATAAAACTGAATGTTTGGTTCGTAAATGTATACATTGTATACAGAAATGAAGCTTCTATTCCTTTCAACCTATAAATCAATAATAATCAAAATTATTTTAGACAAAAATTAAATTATTGTTATTATTAAAATATTAATTTTTAAAAATCTAAACAAATTATCATCTAAATTTGAATATGAATTGTTAATAAATTACAAAAATATTTAACCAATGAAAGAACTGTTATTGTTTAAAATGGGCGTTGCTTTTACTTCTTCCGCCAATAATTAAATAGATGCGTCATTCTGTTGCCAAATTATTTGGTGTATACACAAAATTGAGAATTAAGAGAAAAGTAAATTAAATATTACATTCACAAAAATTGAATATGGACTATTAAAATCTTAACTTCCTAATTTAAATCTAATTATTGTGTAGTACATGATTTTATAATATTATTGTTACAACAGGTCAGTCTAAAAATGAATAATTTTCATTTTCATTTTAGTACTCGTTAGCTTTTTTATTTATTTTTAAGTTAAATGTTTAATATTAGAACAGAATATTAAAGTAAGCATTTAAAACTAAGATAGAAAAAAATTGTTGCAAATAAACGAATTATTAATTAATGACACACACACTACAGCTAAGCATTTCATTAAAAAAATCATTATGTCTTAATTTAACAATTAAAACGAACAATGGAAGCCTTTTAGTGTACTCATGCTATCATTCGAAGGACAAACCAGTTGTCTCTAAATCAAGAACAAGGATTTATTGGTAGCCTATAATGTCTTTGAGAAAGCGTTTTTGGTCGATGTTGTTGAACCGGTAATATCAACGGCAGTGTTGCCGTTCATGAGGTTTATGACGTCACGCGTCCTAAATCGATTGGCATTGTCGACGCCACTGCGTCGTTCATTAGAGACCGCAGCGCTCTCGTGTAACAATTTTCAATTTAAGCGTTCCCGCGACCAGCATACCCCTACTCTCCTCTCAGTCTGTAGGTGCCAACGCCATTGCCAGTTCGGACACCGTGTCGTTTGTGTGTGAGTTTGCCTTTACCAAACTAAATTGTTTGCACCGGCGCAACTCAATTTTTTATTCATTCTATAACGGAACAGAGGTACGTTTTATTTTTATATGACTTTAATATAAAAATATCAAAAACATAAATAATAAGTTTAGATTAAGAAATTATTTGTTATCTGTTATTGCATAACTCTTCTTGATTACCGCCATGTTTTTTTTTAACGGTCATGCAGGTTGTCACTTAAAATAATAATAAATGTGTTTCTTTAGCTATTTCTTACATTTAAAACGTTAAATGTAAGATTATGTCGAAAGTAAATATTTTAAATAGTTTAAATAATTTACAGTATTAAAATGTGTTTTTTTAGTTAAATCCAACGTTTGAATGTTTTTATTATAAGGTATCTTGGTGATTTTCTAATAGTGGAAATTTGGCAGTTAAACTTTTCGATTCTTTCAAGAAATGTTTAAATTTAGAGTACTCGGTTTTTTCAGGTGTTAATTCAGTTTTACCAACCTCTGAAAATTTTTTTTTTTTTAAATTATTGTTTTATATTAACGTTAAACAATAATTATAACTGAAAATTATGAATGTAATTTTACTTACATTTTCTAGAAATTAGACTTTTATTATGATGCAGCTTATTGTTATAAAATAGGTCCATTTTTTCCAGTTTTCTCAAGTGAATCATTTTCCCGCCAGAGTGCGTCTATTTGTCTGTAATCGTGAGTATATTTTAAATAAATGAAAAATAGAAACTTCTCACATGATATGGTAATTTAATTAAATTTTGTTACAATAGAATATCTACTTCCTTATAATTGTTTGTTGGAAATTAAAAAAGTCTAATCTTAAGTATGACGATAAACTGAGTGGAGAATATAGATATGCTTCATTGAGATAAATGTTTTGAGGGAACTTATTTAATTAGGTTATTCTAGGAAACAAAAGTTTTAATTGTTAAAATCTAGAATTCCTTGCTAGTAATAAATCTTTGTGTATCACTGACAAATTGTTATAAGCGGAACTAGATATTTTTATAAATCTTAATACATACATTTTAAATGTACTTAGCATGTTTTCATGATTAGAAATCTAAGGTGGAGTTAGGGGTGAAATTTGAACGCTTTGCCTCGCGCAAAAATAAAATTATCCTCTCTAAAGATGTTGAAAATTATTTATAACGTATATAAATATATTTTTAGGGAAATTTGCAAATTATAACCTCCAAATTTTTGTCTTACAATTAAGGTGGATGGGAATATATATATATTTTTACAAAACTACCTAATTGAAGTGAATCTGCAATATATATTTTTGCAATATAAATATTTTCTCCTAGGTGATTTTGACCTAATTAAGCATTACAGCTCTATCCCGCCTAAGTATGACCTGATACATATTAATATATCATGGAGGTAGTTATGATGGAGTTATTTATTGATTTGTAGACTGGTAATAATATCAGTTTAATGATACCAATATGAATTAATCTAAGTAAAGGTAGTTTCCTATGATATTGGTATAATCGTTGTCTTAATTGCACACATATAAAGAAAAATTTTGATGGTGATCGTTTCATTATTTCTAATTGTGAAACTTTCGAGACTTCATTAATAGAAAAAATCCTTTTTTTTAGGAAAGAGATGGCCTAGGGACATGATTAATCTTTCCAGATTTACCATTATTTATAATGTACAGTTTCGTAAGCAAGATTTTAGTTTTAGGTTTAAAAACGTATTCACTATAGGTTAATAATAGACTTCTGTAGGGTTTCAATCATAACCGCCACTCAAAAGATAAATTAGTTTCGAGGGGAGGAGTTAAATCTCTAGAAGCCTACCTCTTTTATAATAATTACACCATTTATAATATATAACTATATATTTTTTTGATATTATTCAAGTTATTTCTTGAGATTTTGCTGTATCATATGTTTATATTTTAATGACGATTTCATTATTATTAATATCAATAATTGAATAATTTAACTCTCCGTTAAAAATAAAAAGGTCGCCATCTTGATTTACTACAGCGCGATCTATCTATTTAATTACAATATAATCTCTAATTATTGGAATTTCTTTTTAAAAATGTTTATATTGTATTTTAAAATGTGTTCTCAGCAAAATATAAATTTTTGAATAGATGGACATTTTATTCACACTCAACTGTAAATCAGCTTTATAATATCTAAATTGACCAAAGTATGATCTCTAAATGAACTTCAGTTTTTTTCATAGAATATTTTGAAATTTTAGAAGATCTAATCTAATTTACTTAAATTCCAAAATTCCGGAAAGAATATGCATAATATTACATACAAAATGTGTAGGGGGATTAGATAGTAAAGTCCCTAAAGTTTTTGTTATAATTTTGTTATGGAAATTCAATTAAAATGTAGTTTTTGAATAAAATGTATTTAGTTAAATAGTTAAAATTATTTATTTTTGAATCAACTAAACAGGTTTCATTATTAAAATTTTTCTTATATTATGTTGTCATGCTACATTTTAAATGTATTCAAAAGTCAATGTTTATTCAGTTTGACTGTAAAATTAAATTTTGTTGAAACTCTAATACAAGTTAACTAGTTTATCATTTTATAGGTTATGTTATATGTTAATCTTAAATTATTATTTTTTTTTTACTTAATTTTAGTAATTTTTTTTACCAAATGAATTTTTAAAAATAATTTATTTATTTAAAATTAAAGAAAATAAAACCCAGTAAGTTAAAAGATAAATTTAATTAAATATTTATTTTTTTACTACTTTATATTACGTTTCTAAATGGTTGACAAACAGCTTAATAGCATTTTAATATTATTTTTAAACTATCTGTGTATTTGTCATTATTAGTTGTTGACTATATAATAGTTAGAACATATAACTGAATATTTATTTTTATATTACCATTTAGTGTTGGGTGTTTTTCTCGAAAAGAATTAAGTTCTGTTGTGTTAAATTTTTCATAATTTAATACTTGTTTCTTAATTTATGAACTTGACTTTAATTTTTTCTAGCAATCTACTGTACTTTTTTTAGTAGTTTATCAATTTATAGTGGAGACTTCGATATTGAATTAATTTTTAATTTTACTTTTATTCAGTTGTAATTTAATACTAAATAATAGCCTATTAAGTTGCATGTTGTAATAGAGGAATTTTAAGTAATTTATTAAAATTTTCTATAAATTTTAAAGTTGAAACCTTAATTAACTTTGAATTTTATATCATTTTATGTTGTAATTTTATTTTTATTTTTGATCCGTATTTTATAAAATTGAAAGTCCTATAATAAAAACGTCTTACCAGGTGATTTCATCTGAACCAAAATTGAAAATTAATTAGACAGAATATTTTTATTCTATAGTATTTATTTCTAACTTTTTTATATTATTGTTTTGCTTTATTAGTATATATACATGTTCGTTGAAAATGCACGTAGCATTTGATGTATGCATTTTATATTATTCGTATGCTTGCTATTTTAGGATAAATTTAGGAGTTTTTTTTATTTCAACACCACTTTGGTATATTTTAATGAATCTTTATTTTATAAAAATGTAGTGACTAAGATGCCATTTGTAAAATGTATTTTTTTTTTCATTTCTTGTTTTTGTATTATACAAAAAGTTAGAAGTATAATTTAAACACAAAAAAATATGTTTGACGTAAAAAATGATTAAAAATTTTAATTTTTTTTTTTTGAGCGACTACAAGTTATCATGATTTATACAATTATTAAAAAAGTATTTAATAATTATTGCTAAATGCTTTGTGTTGTCCGAAAAAATATATATGTACAATAATATTATCTTTGTGTTTTCGAACGCAATTGTGTTAATGTCATTAATGAAATTTTTATATATTACATTTATAAGTAGGAAGTAATTTTTTAAGAAAATTTATTGAAATTAGTATACTTTTTAACATTTTATTTTTACTATACTAGATTATAGAAATATTTTTTTTATGTGAAGTCTTACAAAAATTCGTTTAAATCTTTAATGAGTAGTACAACAATTTTTCTCGAATAAATCAAAAATACTAGATGTGTAACACATTATTTTTTAAATTTATATATATTTTTAATATAGGCTAGTATTTATTGCCTATAAAATACAATTTCATTTTTGTAAATATTTCATTAGAATTGTAAAAATATCGGTAAATTATTACTGTACCAACTAATGATACAATAGTTGATTTTACAATTGATTCATTTTTTACTTGTGATTATTACAACTCAAACATCCTTACTTCTTCAAGAAAAATAATTTATGAAAATATGTTTATGTCAACATGAATAAACTATTTCATTTATGTTGAATGATCCACTATGTTATTTTGCAGCTGTTGTACGATAAATTTTTTTTCCGTTGGCAAGGCGTTATCGTCTTTGTTTCGTGAAACTCTACAACTCCCCTTTCTCTCTTCCATCACATAAGCAACGTTGCTACGTCGTTATGGCTTCGTCGCATACACCAGTTTAATGTTGTTGTATTTTATAATCTAAATCAATTCCATTCCAACGTTGCCGATAGAAATGTACTGCGCTGCGTTGAGCACAATTTCATGCGCATGTACTGCATACATAGCGTTCAGTTTTTTTTTCTGTTGTCGATGCATACACTGTGGTTGTATTATGTACTTTATTTAATGACATCGCGCCTGTTGGCCTTGTTATTATTATTATTTTTTTTATAGATAACAAATTAATACATTTTTTTTTTGACATAACTTTTTTTTAATACAAGTGACCTCGAAATGAAGGTCATTTGTTATTGATATACAATTTTTATATTTAAAAAATCTTGTCTTTCCCCTCCATTTTTTCAAGTTGAAATGTTTTTACGATAGAATGCGCTACATACAACCTAACGCTTAGATTTTTTCAAATTATTGAATTTAAAAGTTTAATTTTCGTTTTTACCTAAATTACTATGTTATTTTAAATACGAACTAATGATTTTTTATATATTTTTATTACCTGTATCGTAATAAGTGATGGGCATTTTCGATTATTTTAAACTATCGAATAGTATTCGATAGTTTTTAAAACTATCCAATAACTATTAGAACTGTTTTTATACAACCGAATAGTTTATTTTTAGCATAAACTATTCGAATAAATTATCGAATAGTTTTAAAAACTTGTCGAATGAGCTACCGAATGGTTTTAAAAAATATTCGATTAGTTCTATCTAAAATTTTTATTAAGTTTACTTAATTATAATAAGAAGATAATTAACGAATTCGTGAAATAAATTATTATACAATTAATAATAGTAAAAATTGGTGACAGGCATTTTCAAATATTTTAAACTATCGAATAGAATTCGAATTGTGTTTATACAACCGAATAGTTTATTTTTAGCATAAACTATCAAATATTTAAAAATGGATCTATCGAATGGATCTACCGAATAGTTTTAAAAACTATTCGAATATAATTGGTAACTATCGAATATTTTTTGAGTGACTATCGATAGTTACTATTCGATATATCCCATCACTAATCGTTATAATATAGATATACTAGGGTTTCATATAAGAAGTAGAATTAATATCTTAAAAAAGTTTTGATCAGTTGAATATTTCTTTATACCATGTATTTATTATTGAATTTGATTGTTCGACGATTTAACTATTGACACGAATTAGGGTAAGGAGGGAATATTTCCCTGAATTTTTATCAAAAATTGTAACATACCAAACTATATTATAGCTAGTTTCATACGTAACTTATAATAACATAATTATATTCACTGTTTAATAAAATTTAAGTTAGATTTTTTTGGTTTCCAGGAAAATATATTTTTCATAGGAATTTAAGCTCTTAAAATAAAATATTTCCTTTGTGATAGTGTTTAACATTATTTGTAAATAGAGATTTAGTCGAAATTTTATTTTTATTTTCAAGCATAGTTTTTTCTGATGTTGGTAATGTTTTATTAAATCAATGTGTATCTAGTAAAAAAGCTTAAGAGTAACGCCCTACCTAAACTCCATCCTCCAAGAACCTCCACTTGTTTCTAGTAGAACATTCATTGGCGTTGCCATGGAGGTATAAAAAACCCATGATGTATATATCTATATGGTGAAGATATATGGTGGACAGAATAATAAAAATATTTTTTATATATCCCCCAAGACAATACTGTGATATTGCCAATGCTTCATTTTTTAATTATACCAAAAATGTTATATTCATTACTTTTATCTAATTTTTCAATTTTAATTTGATTTAAAATATTAAATTAAAGAAATATATGTTGTAGTAAATAGGGGCATGGTGTGGTGCAGTAGATCATTCAGTTGGCGCTTTTGCACTAATATTCAACTACAATGTTTGCTGCCTGTTCCCGGATCCATGACCATACGGGAACTTGAACAGTGACACACACTTTGCCCCTATACTGATTCTCTTAGCTATAATAAGGTTGCGTCAGGCTGGCAGCCAATGTAAAAATGTTAACAAACCATTGCAAAGTAGAGTCGACCCAAATATTTGGGATAGAGGTTAAGAATATGATGATATATTTTAGTAATTTAATAGTCATAAAATTTGGCGATTTACAATAATTACTAGTTTTAATTTTAAACTTTTGTTGTTCTTTTATTTGTGAACTGAATTTTTACGTGTAATGCCGTTTTATGATTTATACGTATTCACAAATTTATATATTGATTAGAAATATTGTTATTGTATATGTTTAAGTAAATATTATACTACGGTATCTGTTAGGAATTATTGATCAAATAATGTATTTTTATATTATTAAAACTTGTGTAATTAAATTGTTCATGAATTTTATTTTTAGTATTGTGTTATACATTTTTCCAGCTGTGTATTTAAGAAGGTAGTATGGTCCAAATACTTAGAAATAAAAACTTAATAGCGGTGGTGTAGAGAGGTGAATATTCCCACTACTCAACGGTTTAAAAGCTATTAAGATTCCAAACAAAATTTCTAAATACGCCACTGTATTGCTCATTTATTTTATTTAATCAATGATTTAATTAGGAGACTATCAAAATTATCAAATTAACATGATAATCATATTGTTATAATGTATATATTTATTTATATTGATTTATAATGATAAATATATTTTTATTTTTGTGTAGGATTATTAGAATTTATAATGCGAGGGAATTTTCACATTAAGCTAGAAATAATCAACAACTCCCATAAGATATTAACATAACAATTTTTAAACGTAAATATAAAATTTGCAAATTATATGATTTGCAACTTTTATTAAATAGCATATGCAATTTATTAAAAATTGAAGTTATTCTAAGTTAATTTTTAATCATGGTTGATTAAATGTTTTTGATGATACTATATAATTTTTTATAAGTGAATTATATTATATTATATTTTATTTGTAATTATTTATTTTGTTTTTTGTACTTAAATAAAATATTCTTTTAAAATTAATGTATGCAAAACGTTTAGTTTCGTTGCTTAATTGATGATAGTCTATATTCATATATCATTTTATGCTCTAGTAATTTAATAGAAAGTATCAAGTCTAAAAATGTAATAATAACCTAATATAAAAAGTATCTTTAATTAATTTAACATTAAATTTACGCATTTACTAATGCGTAAATAATTTTGATAATTTAATAATTGTGAAAAAGTATTTGTACTTTTAAAAAACTTTATTATTATTTATAAAAATATCGTATGTAATTCAACTTAAATTTAATTTAATTTTTACCTTAGGCTTATAATTTTCTGTTATTATTTTAACTATGAAATATCAGTATGAAAATATTATTGTTTCAGATTAAAGATGAAATCAAAAAGAACAGTTGATACTATAATGCAAAAAATTAGGCTACGGGCCGTTGTTGAGCTTCAACGACTAACAGATGAAAATATTGTTGAAATTTTAACGTGAGTCATCCAATATATTTCATATAATACCCCTTCTTAAATGAACTTTATAAAGTAATTATTAGTGCTTAATTTCTAGATTAAATACTTGATATATTGTAGATTGCATTTTAAATATAAAATAAAAATGTATAATAATTTTGATTTTCATTATTTTGAACATATTAAATAAATAATACCATCTTCAGCTATAGTCAGGGTATATTTGCGGTTCGTAGAGTGTACATTATTTACATGCATATTTGCGTATATAATATTCTATATTATTAATTTGGTCTCTAAAACTGAGTTATTTCCTTGCTAACACGCTTTCTATTTAAACCTCCTATAAATATATAGAAACCTATATGATGTTCATGTAAACTTTAAAAAAATTTGAATGACGTCTTCCACTGATATCCTTATAAGTATTGTATTTTTCAACGTTTTCGAGAAAATATTCTACTCCGATCTAACCAAGAGTGGGTTATTTATAAAGGTATTTAAGGGATTGATTAAAAGAAGAATCTCTTAGGAGAAAATTGTCGCTAGAATTCTTTTTTTTATGGTCAGTAAAATATATCTATTTATATGAATATATCTATTTATATTAATATTATGCAATTGAGATATTGGTCCTAAGAATTGAATTTGATACCAACACATATTTCCTAAGCCTTGAATCCTAAAAGAAAATTAAAAAATTAACAATAGACGAACATTTATAATCGTAATTCTATAGTATCCATACTCGATTAAATGTATGATATCACATTGAAAAATATAGAGCTGGTATTTTAGTATCTAGGTTTTAGTTTTTCAGTCAATTAATTGATATTCCATGAGTTGAGTAACAACATTTTATCTTTGATATATTTTCTTTCAGCAGTCTGTTTCTAAGTTAATCAGATTTTTATAAAATGGTTTTTTAATGTTTTACTATATTAGAAAATATAATCATAGGTATTTTTTGTTTAACTCCTTCCATTTATGATAATAGATATTTTCTGATAAAATTTAGATTTGCAAGTTAATGAATCGTTTTTATTATAAATTTCTTTTTTTAAATTTAGTGAATTAAAAAAAAGAAAAAAGACTGTAACACCACCTTGTCATGATGAAACTGAACCTAGTGTTAAGAGAATTAAGTTCAATGATAAAGGAAAAGAAGTATTAAAATTAGTGTTATCGCGAGAAGGGGAGTCTGATAAATTTAAGTCACAATTTAAGACTACACTTTATAGTCGGATAGTTGACGAATCTTCTGATGATCCAGCATCTCCTTGTAGTGTAACGGAAGTAGATTCAGATAGTAATGTTCAAAATATTAGTTTAATTGGCAAATCAAGTGATATGAAAAAAATTTCAACTTTAGAATTACGTGATAAGTCCATTAAAGATCAAGAATTGTTAGATGAAAAGAAAGATAAACCTTGTAATGAATTGAATAGTCTAATTGGTAAAATATGGGTTCGGGATGTACGAACTATGATGACAGAAGCTATGTTAAAAAGATATTATAGAGTGTTTAGTGAGTTAAATCAACAGTTGGCTGTAAAACAAATATCAACTCTTACAAATACACAACCTACTGTTGAAAATACACAATCAATCCCTATAAATACTCAATCAACCCTTATAAATACACAACCAACAAATCAGTTGTTAATAAAGGGTAATTTGAAGCTTGTAGATATAGAAATGTTGTACAGTAAATATTTTAGCAAACATGTACAAGACACAATTGTCATAATTGCCAATATACTTAATATAATCTCGTTATCAAACAGACATCATAAGGCTCGAATGGATGAGTCATTTAAAAAGAAAACTGAAGCGGAGAAACTAAAAGAGCGATGTGATGCAAACAGAATACATGAGAGACATAAATTTATATTAGAATCTCAGCTCAAGTATAGATTTATTGAAGTCGTATCAATGTTTAGTGATCAAGATTTTGATCACGCTTTTCAAATGTTCTTCCTGAGTGTACTGACAGTTCTTCGTGTACTCGACCATCCAAAGTTTAAAAAAGGAAGTATTTTTAAAAATTTAGTACTCTTGCTATGGAACAGTCTGAGGAGCTGCAACCTTGATAATCGCAGAGTTTTCACTATGTTTCGATCGAAGACATTTCGACCAGACTGCATCGAATTAATCAGTCTTATTGAAGATAGTCGTGAATCTGATCCTGGTATTGTGGATCGAATGTCAATGTTTTTTATATCTAATATAGATGCTACAGATTTCCAACGCGTAATAGAAGGAGTTACTAGCGATACAAGTGCTGACATGTTGGCCACATTAGTGCATGAAGCATCGCAGAACATTCGTCGAAATTCAAAATTTAAGGATCCTCTAAAAAATAATATTAACTCATCTGCCAATTTAGAAACTACTACGATACTCACTAATGCAGTTCAAGGTTCCAACGAAGTTATTAAACATTGGGTTATAACAAAAGGACCTAACGGGACGTATCAGTAAGTTAATTTAATTTAGTTTTCTAATTCTTTTACTTAGTCTCTGAAGATTTTAAACATCATATTTAAAATTATACTTGTATAAGTTAGAAATTATGCATGTAGTGGAATAGTTTTCTTATATTTATTGTCTTAGCAGTTATGTTGCTCAATATCTTTAAAATTGTTGTTGAACTAGTATAGCCATTATGTAAGAGCTTCTTTCATAAGTTTCTTTATAACCTCTTCAGGTTCCGGTCTATAAAAAGAGTTATAATACTGATAACTCAATCCAGATTTACAAGGGTTATTTTCATAGCATCATAACTTTTAATATAGAACAGCGCGATGAATGTTCTAAATACTTATTAAACTTGTGTTAAATATTTTTATAGTAACTATTGTTTCATTATTAATGATTCGATTAAAATTTTTGCAGACCTTATCCAATGACAAATGAAAATAAACCTCCTAGAAATACAATCAATGATAATAATGAATCAATATCATCTGTTAGCCCTCAGTTGAACTCTTATTATGAAAATTTTTCGAATACATTGTTAAAGAACGTTCCTGATTTGATGGGTACTAAACCGATAACAACTAAAATTAATTTAGCTTCGTCAACTGTGACCAGTGGGGGGTCACTACCAGGAAAATTTGTTGCATACGATCCTAAAAATAACACAGTTAAAGCTATTTCTAGCTCAAATATTCAGCGAGCTGATGGCAACACGTATGTAGTGAAACCTTATCAACTATTTAGGGGTCAAATGAGACCAATGATATCCCAAGGAAAATCTAACGGTATCATTCTAGCGCAACAACCAAAGAATACTGATGGACCTGTTCGAGTAAGTAAATGATATTTATTAACAATAATAAAAATTATGTTGATAATTGTTATCAAAAACATTAACTTTAGATAACCCAAGTTAAGAAGCATAACTTGAGATATCCAAAAGTCGATATCGGCAATACTGGGAAAGTTTCCGGATTCTTATGTTCTATATTCTATCATTAAATTTAGTAAATAATTATAATTTTGGTCTAATTACACATTTTTTTTTTGCTTAACACTTTCTCAATGTATAATCTGCTGCTCTTTAGTATCGACCTATTCCAATTATCTTGTTGTTTAAAGGGAATTCATAATTTGACCATTTATATTCCGCGTAGGGAGGTTAGTTCGTCGTCGGTAAGAGGAAGGGTAACTCGAACTATTGAAGTGATCTCTCCTCTCAGCAAACTAAGACCCCCGTAATTTACTTACAAACACGAAACCATGTGCATTAGGCACTGTCGCGTTAACAACTCAGCTAAGTCGTCACTTTCATTTTTAGTATACATTACATATACATATATATTAGAAAATGAAATATTTTTATTAGAAATTAGTGTCATCAATAACGTCGCCTGCACACCGTAAATGTTTTCCTCTAAAAAAAATGAATTAATTTTACTTAAAAATATAAAATGGCAAATTACTTAAAAATATACGCCATTCATAAAAGTTTCTATTTATGTTGCGGTTGTTCAAGAAAAATAATACAATCTTTTATTTTATAAGTTCTGAAAAATTATTTAGGAAGTAATTAAATGTAATGCAATGATACTTTTTTTATAAATTTTCAGTGTTATGCTAGAAACTGTAATGAAATTGCTACTATTATGTGTAGTACCTGTACTTCAGTTAAATATTGTTCTCACAATTGCCAAGTAAAATTTAATTACAGAATAAAAAAAGTTGATAAAATAATATTTGCTAATAATTATATATTTTCTTTTTAGAGATCAGACTGGTATGAAAAGCATATAAATAATTGTGATAGACTGCAAAAATTAAAAATGCTACAACAAAAAGCTCAAAATTCCTAATTTAATTTAATGAATATTAATTATACATTTTTTTTTGTTATTGTTCTTTATAGTTGACAAGTGATGAATTATGTAATATAAAATTAATAATTTATCTTCAAAAATTTACTATTGTTTTTATACATTATAATTTAATAAATTTTTGTTTAAAAATATTAGTATGTAATAATTTATCAAAGATGCAAGTTTTTATAAACTGTTATTTTTTTACGCAATGATAATTTCATAGGTTGTAACTATTAAATTTTTATAAAATTGATTATTTTTGTTATTTTAATTCTTTATTGTCCTTTGTGAAATAATCTACTTTTTAAAATGAAAATCATGTAAACTTGGTTTGTCATCATCTTTATATTTTTGATCCAATTATTTTATACTCATTAGTCAATTATGAATAAATTTAAAAATAAAAAAAAAAAAATTAACTTAAATTAAAGGTAAAATATTTACACAAATTTCATGTTCCATGCACCTAGTATAAAAAATTCGACATTAAGGAGTGTTTGTCATTTGGGGATACAGGTAAAGTACAATGAATTGTTTACAACACTTAATAACAGCATTGGCACTCAGAAAATAATCTTTTTTTTACAAAATAAACATTAATAAATAGAGGTAGTTTCACAATTTTTTACAAAAAATTACATATAGACAAACAAATAGGTAATAATAATAGTAAAAAAATATAGCAGGAAGAAAGCATAAGAGAAATAGAAAGGACGGGAGTTGTTATTTAATTTAAAATTAGCCATGAGAGTCACTGAATTATTCTGTTTTTATTTGTTTTGTTGGAGGTTCACTACTCTGAGAATTTGAGTCTTCAGAGAAAGCCAACTGATGTGCAGTGAATTCTGAAGGTTCTTGTGAGTGGGAATCACTTATTGAGAAGGCTAAACATAATAAGAAATAATTATTAAGCAATGAACAAATAACACGTAACAAACCATGAAATATATTTTATCTCACATGTATTGGAATCGTCAGCCATAGAGAAATTTGATGCCACTTCCATGGGTCTTTTACCTAATATATTTTCTTTATTAGCATGAGAATGTTCTTTGGACTTTTTTTTCTACAAAAAGAAAACACACTTATGTATACTGCACAAATTAGCAATATTAAAAATGTATATAAATCACATAGTGTCCAGGAATTTCTTCCTAGTTTTGATTAATACAATTAAGAATTAAACGACATTCTAAATAAAAAAAATAAAAAAATATGGAATTTTTTCAAATTAACTTTTATTAGTTATTGAATTTAGAGTTTTAAATGTTTTGCATAGCTGGATATTAATAAATAATTTTGAGAGCTAAAATAAATTTAGAGGTATGGTGTGACGCGATGGACACACTAGTTGCTGACAAAACTTTAGTGTAAAGCCAAGCCTACTGCCGTAGGTGAACGGATAGTTGGCCATGCGTGCACTTCTACGGTGGCGAAAACGCACTATGTTTCCAGTGCAGAAGGCAACAGAAAACCACTGCACTTAATTTCCCCAGGATATACCATTAGTAAAACGACAAGGTAAGACCTTTAGTAGAAAAAAAAAAAATTTAATTTAACAATGTATTAAAATAATTTTCTTATTTTTGAGGGACTGATTTTTAAGGATGTAGCGTCCAACTCAGGGGCATGGTTATATATATTTAAAAATATTCTAATATTATTATTCAGTTTATTATACTAAACATTAACAAAATGTTTCAATGACATGATTTATAAGAAATTTTTGATAAAAAAATAATATGTTTAAATAATAAAAAATCAATATTGTAATTATAATACACAAATAAAAGATTAACTAGAATAGATAAAGGAAACTTAGATGTTTTTTAAAGGAAACTTTTTGAAAAACGCACAGAGCAATAAGATATAATATAAAATACATATAGAAGATCAAATAGTTGTATAAATTATCTGAGAAAAATATGGAAATTTGGCAAATTAATCTGGGCTAAATTTTTATTTTGAACATTTGAATTAACCACAAACATACTAGAATTAAAAACTTAAAGAGAAGAACTAATGGTTTTTTTATGTTAAAAATATATAGGTTCATATTTCTATCGTATAATTATTAATATAGAAACTATTATTTTTCATTCACTATTAAATTAATTTTATAAAATAACCAAAATAATTGTTTAATAAATGATGAGCAACTAACCTGATCATTGGATATTATAGGTACCCATTTATAAATTTTCATAGTAGTGTCTCCAATTGTAACCCATTTTTTTTCCCTGAAATAGAAACAACAATTATATTTTAAAGAATCACAAAAACTAAATAATGAATTTTATATAAATAAAATACAAATGTAAATTATAATATAGTAATTAAAAAATATATAATAAGATATAAATATCACACAACAGTTAGGGTTAAGAGTTGACAAAGGCAATTCTACCTTTATTAAGATAAGGCAAAATGTTTATTTCTCTCTTCAATTACAGTAATAAATTTCTCACGTGAAACACTAGTTTTTAAAAAAAGAAACTAAAATTCATTAACAATTCTAAATAGGTAGTCTTGTTTTTTTTCCGCATTAACAATGATCATTAGGTTTTTACAAAATTGGTAGTTAACAATTTACTCATTTAAGAATATCAACCAAATGTTTATCATCGTATTAAGTTATATTAAATTTATCTTTTAATTTAATAAATTGAACATAACGGACATATTAAAGTGTTTAAATAACATTTATAAAAATTTGAGTTTGAACAAAAATGGCGAATCTAGGTATCTTACCATCGCCGAACCTTATCCACCACTTGCATGACCCGCTTGATGTCATCTTTCGCTCTGCTTCTTGTTTCTGCACGTACAGACCGAGACATCATAATATTCACAACCTTTGGCTTATTAGGCTAAAAGGTTGAGAACGTCTAACAAACCAATTTCCAAACAGGAAATTTGACGAAAAACGTCAAGGGTTAGACGAATGGCCAACGTTTTGTACACAGGGCGAGATTATACATATCGCAGTGTAAACAAACTATAAAATAATCGATAGGTAGAACGAAATATTATCAGTTATCAGACGCCACAGCCATGCCGCTTTTGTGTACAAGTAGCGCGCTCTAATTTTTAATCACTCAATTTTTAATATTAAAATAATTATTATATTAATATTGATTATTTTTAACCTATTGTTAATTATATGTTAGAGGCTAAAAAATAATAATAGTGTCAATTTAGTGGGCTAGGGAATAAATAAAAAGTGTTATAACAACCGATGTTATTATAGATTATAAATCCTAGGATTTACGTATATAGCCAAAAGATATCGACATTGCTATCATTTTGTATAGTTGCATATTTCAAAATAAAGTAACTATTTTATAGCGTCAATGAATCTAAAATGAGATCCTTAAATTTTTAGTTAAGTACTTGTAGTTAAGCTTCATTAATAAATGTCTTGATTTCCTTTAACATGCATGCATTACGTTATTTTTTTAAACTTGAAAATAATTTTTTAGAGATCATACTTAGAAATAAATAAAAACATTTATAACTTTTTTTTGTCAATTTTGATAACTTAGGGGCTCTACAAAAGTATCCAGGTTTACCTACAAACCAGTGAGTTGCTACTCTTCATTATAAATTTAAAAAAGTTGAAGGGCTTTGTATAAAAACAAAATAATTTCAATTTTTAAAAAGCTAAAAAAACAAAACATTTTCAATATGTATCCTTACAGAACAGTTATTTTAATATCACTATTTTTAAATTAATTATTATATTTCTTGGATATATGCATACTTCGTTTTAATCTAAATTTAGAAGTCGAAATGCGATTTTGAAAAAAAAAAATGTTATTGTACAACATCTATGTTTAGTATTTAAATAATTTATATTATTATTTTAATAATATAAATTTTTAAGAATATAGGAAATTTAGAATATTTATATTAATAATAGTGGGAATAATAATAAAACAGTAAAATTTTTAATAATTGTGCCTAATGTGTATGTACTACAATTACTTAATTTTTTAATTTTTAACCAGCTTAACCAATCAAAAAAAATTGAAATTAAAAAACATATTTCAACTTAAGATTTTATTCTAAAAAAAATAACAATTTATAAACAATAATTAACAATTAAAATGATACTGATTTGTCAATTTTCCAAACCAATCCGTATTTCCAGGTGAACAGGATGATATCAGCATGCTAGGACTAATATCCATACATTCTTGATAGGAAACTTTTCTTTCATAACTTTCTTGATAGATGTATGGATTTTTATTTATATTAATGCTTCTATATAAATTAGAACCAAACAGGTGTTTTAATCTAAAACCAAGAAAATTAACTTTTTAAATTATCCAAATTTTTTTACATTACAACATTTAATGTAAAAATGTTTCAAAGTATAAATAAAAATAAAATATAATAGTCAATATAATTAAATTTTTTTAAAAAATATACAACAATGAAGCATTTTTTAATTACACAAAAATGTATTTCTCATTCAAACTTATACAACTTACATTTTTTACATACTAGAAAATATTTTTTTATCAAGTAGTCGTGGGAATTTTTGATTGAAAATTGTTTGGATTAGTTAGTTTGAATAATTTTTTTATATAACGCATTTAATCATTCATTTTCTGTGGTTGGTCTATTTTCTATACAATTCCTCTTTAATAAAATACTTTTAAACGAGTCATTCAAATTCGAGTTTTTACAATCTTAATTAAAATAAAGATTGTGAAAAGATTTTAAATTGTCTTATGAACTGTAATAACTAATTTTAAATTGTAATACAATACAGTATAATCGGATTACTTGTAATTTTTTCAAATGAAAATTACATAGAATATTTTTGCTTAAGAAGCAACACTATTTAACCCATTTTTGTCAGTAATTAGTAATTTTCTTTATTTGTCTAGAGAAGATATCAAAAAACAGTATACTGTGAGATTGTCAGTACTATTCTTAAGATTTTTATTATTTGATATATTAGATAATTAATTTTCTATAAATAACATAACATTTTTTTAGTTAATCATTTAATTTTTTACAAAATTTTAACAGTATTGTTAACTTATTTGACCAAAATGTGTGATAGGTTTTATTTCTTAAATGACAATATTTGCATAGAATAAAATAAAATAAATTTAGACAAGACTCAGGATAGTGTATCTCTTATGTTGAAACTTAACTACATAATTCAACAAGATTTAAAAAAAAGCTATATCTGAAATTAATAATTTTATTTTTAAATGGTATATAAATTAATACTTATTTCTTTAAAATTGGTATGTAAATGTGAATTTTATATATTGAATTTACTATAGTAGATTTAAAAAATGTTTTGTTAATGAAAAACGGTTAAGAAATAAAAAAATAATTTATAGTATAATAAGAAAACTAATGTTATAGAAAAATGCTTAAAATAGGTTAGACAGTGATAGTAACAAATGAGGAAGTACTACAATTATTGTCTGAGTGAATAGTATTAAAAAAGAAGAAATTAATGGATTGGACATGTATTGAGACATGGTGGGTTGCTGGGATTTATTATAGAAGATAAAAATTCAAGGGGATGATCTCAAATGGAATACATGCAACAAATAATTTAATGTTCAAGAGTATAGTTCTTATAGAGAGACAAAAAGGAAGGCAGGTAATAGGGAACACTGGAGAACTGCTACAAATTAATCTCAAGATGAATAAAAAAAAAAAAAAAAAAAAAAAACTAACCTGGGAAGAACATATGGTTCAAAGGGGAAAAATGCATAGAGCCACTGATCTTTAATAGATTCATCAGTAATTCTAACATGGTCATCCATAACAGGATAGCAGTATGTTAATTGATAAATTTTTGTAACTTGTGCAAATAGCATTGAAATTTTAGAACAACATACACGTAAAGGACTCAGTCGAGAAGTAACTATATTTGATAAGTTTAAGTTTTCCATAAATTTCAAATCTAAAAAATAAATAAATATTAAATTAATAACTATAGAATATTTAAACATGATAATAATGCAAACTCTTTAGGAAATAAAACTACTAGATATTCATACATACTTCTTTTACTATCCATTAAATCTTCATGTCGAAATGAAATTATATAAAATAATGATTGACACAAAGAATAGAACACAGCGTGCCATCTTAAAAGTTCTTCATTAACAACTTTTACTGATTTATCAACTCTGTTTATGTAATTATTACACCAAACAGACATATCACCAACAGTATTTTTCAATACGCTATTGGATAAAGAAAATAATCCATTTAAAAAGTGTCCGATATAAATAAGAATATCATAAAATACTTACTTAATAGAAATAAAAGGTGCTCTACTCATGAAGCTAGCCAAATATCCAGCAGCAGCTTGACGAATAGTCGATGGGGCAGACACATCACAGCACTTTTTCCATAACCAACAACTAAATTTTTCAGCTAATATAAATTTAAAACTCAAAAAGTAATAAATAATATATTGCACATGACTACTAGCATAAGTGGGTAAAATTTCACTTTCAAATACTGATAAAAGATCTTGATACAACAGCTTAGTGTTATCCCACCTGAACAATGAAGTCAACTTAAATATCAACATGAATTCATGAAGTAATTTTACATAATTGTATCATAATTTACAATAATACTCCTTCTTTGTCATAACAAAATGTTTTAATGTAATCAAATATTCTCTTTAAACACATATCTAATGTACACACAAAAGATTCTGATTCTTGTATTTCAGGACTTGCTGATATACAATCTCCATCAACATCCATAGCAAAAATATTTTCTTCTATTTCATTACTTGAACAGGACCCCAATCTTTCTAATTCTTCTTTTGGAATATGTACATCAATTTCAACTAATCTACAAGATTGAAACCAAAATAAAATTTTATTTTACTCATATAATTACTCTACCACATTATATCTATTTACTTACTTATTAATCATTAAATTCAATATATTTCTTCTTAAAGATGGTTCATACTGAGTAATTAACAACAAGTTGTGCACATAATGTAAATGTACTTCAGGACTGCTTTTTTTATATGGAAACTTCTTTTGTAAAGTTGTAATGAGTATTTCTTTTGCTCTAGAAATATCATATTGTTCTACTAGTCAAAATAACAAAATAAGGTATTACCGTTACTTACAGTGGAATAGCTTTTAGTAAATCCTTTATTATTTTATGTACATTTTGATACCCAATCTCTTCTCTTTCATTAGGTATTCCATTAATACGGTCTACAACTGTGTTGTCAACTGAAAACAATTTTTTTTTAGCTCATTCATGTTATTATCATTTTTTTTATTTATTAATTATCTTACTTTGGGAGAAACAAGTTACTAGTTGTTCTATAGCAAATTTAGTGTGGTAATTATGGGCAGAGCATACATCTAATACAAATGTACTATATTCATTCACTACTTCTTCACCTCTATCCTTCCATTTTAGTATCTATTAAATAATATATATTTTCATGAAATTTTTGCTAAATTTTTTAAAAATTTATTCTTACTAAGACCACTTTGACAAAAAGTGTAAGATTTTCATTTAAAATATTCACACAATGTCTTGCATCTTTCAGTAATTTTACAAGTTCAGAATCCTTTAATAGTTTTAAAAATGTATTAAAAGTGAAAATTACAACCTTATTTTTATGAAGACAAAGTCATTTTGATTTATTCAAGAAAATATTAAAAACATAATACTTATATATAATTTTATCTAAAACTAAAAAAGACTAAAAAATTATTTAAATTTTAAACAGGTACACTAAATGATAGTATTTAGTTTATCATTAAGCTCTAAAATAATAAAAATTCTGTCCACTCTTCAAAAAAATGGATTTATGTCCAAAATTTCAAAAAAATAATAGGTATAAAAAGTTTTAATTTATTAAATTTTATATATATATATATATATATATATATATATATATTAATATAAAATTATATTATATTTTAGTTTAATCCTGTAAAAATTTGGTAAGGATTGAATTAAAATTAGATGAATCAAAGTATAATTATTAACATGGAAAAAAATTAAAATAGTTATATTTTCCGCTACAATGCAGTAAAGCAATTAAAAATAAATTAATGATTAACCACTAGACATTTTCATTATTTGTGTTGATAAAAAAACGGGTCATCCATTTATCAGAAAATGATATCGAAATTCTGAGGTAATTTTCAAATTTAGCAATTTTGAAATACTTAGAAAAGTCTCCACACACCCTTGAAACCAAAACTTTTTTTTGTTGATAAGTGTTATGAATTAAAAATAGATGGTAAATTGCATTATTTTGATTATTTAAATATTTTTCAAATAACACAGACCCATTTTATTTCTTTAATATGACTTTTACCTTATTGATAACTCAAACATTTAAAATTGTAAATTTATTATTTTTAAGTTTTACAGCTTGAATAATCAATTTAATTTCAATCCTCCTAATTGTTTTGTCATCAAATATTTATGTAATGACAATGTAATTTGTAGAACTTCAGAAATAGCACACAATGTAGTAGTTATCCAGGATAGGGTAAAATTAAAACATTAGTGTCACAATATTTAAATGAAAAAATTGATTTTAAAAATGTATGATTAATTAAACCAATTATTTTAAATATAATTATTTTAATTCATATTATACAGTACCTTAAAATCATTTCCAGTGTCTCTAATATCACAAATAAGATTATTATACTGAATTTTATCTCTATCATCAGTTTGATCAAAATGAATTAGCATCGATTTTAAATTATTGAAGAGATCAAAATGTACTTTACGTTTTGGAACATTATTTATTGAAAGAATATTTTGTTTTTTTAATATTGAAGGTGAACTGATACATTTTAAATGATTATCTTGAACAACAATGTTATTAGAATAGCAGGAAGACATTGTGCTAATCTGAAACAAGAAAAAATACTAATTTATACATAATTATGTAAAATATTAATGACTAAAAGTGAATTGCATGAGTTTTAATTTTATGTAAATTTAAAGGTGTCATGTTTTCTCCATCAAGTTTGTTCAATGCTGATATAGCAGTTACTTTTAAAACATTCTTTTAAAAAGAAAATTATTTGAATTTTTAAAAAAGTATATAAATAGAAATACAACTATCTGGTTTATAAACTATAGAAATTTAATTTTCATTTAGTTATTTAAAAAGATCAGTTAAATAAAATTAAAATTGGACAACTATTGAAGATTATCATTTATAGGATATATCCTAATAAAAAATTTTCAGAATAACTTTTTTAATATTTGAAATTAACGTCTTTAATCTCAAACAGATAATTGAACTGTACTCATTTTTATTTTAGATAATATATTATTATTTTTTTAAATTGATTGAAGATCAAATTTCATTATTGACCTCTTTGTGAAAAGTTGAATTATCAATATATTTTGAAGATATAAGATATTGTAACTAGTCAATATCGTCAATCAAATATTTCAATAAAAAAAACCAAGATTTATGGGTACATATATATTTAATTTATAAAATAATCATACGAGTTTTTAACTACTACTTAATTTTCATGTAAATAAAATCTTACTTTAACATCTGAGTTCAGCTAAAATATTTGGTTAACAACAATAAAAATTATATGTCATTTAAAAATGTAATATAAAAGTAAAGCATATATATACATATATATAGCATTTTATATACAATAAAATGAAAAAGGTAAAAACTTAAAACAAAATTTTAAACAATTCAAATTATGCAACAAAAATAAGTAACAAGTATTTAACAGTTAACTATATTTCAAATACCTTAATACTTATTTACTTTTTTTATAAGTAAACATAAGTAAAATTAATATTTGAGGTTAAAATTACGCACGTGGTGTATAACGTTTTCGTTAATAGATAAAATGAACTGGATCACAATTATAGATAAGACAGGTTACTTAACGTAACATATATTATGAAATCAGAGCGTCACCGACAAGTCTCGTGTGAGTTATACATCTAGCGCTTCTAGCGAGAATTACTAGTGAAATATTCATTTATGCGCTTAGTGCAATGCATAATATAATTTGTAGTTTATATTGACGTGGTCGTTATAAATATTATATGAAAGTTGACATTCTTTTATACGCAGTTAAAAAACTCTAGCTATACATTAATGGTATATTTTTATATTAATTTGAATTAAAAGTAACAGCAATCTACTTGTATATTGAGGAGTTATCTAGCAAACAACGAATGAAACTAGTCTCTATTATTTATACTTAAACTTAATAATAATAAGTTATTTTCCAATGAGCCCAATGATCACAACAATGCACACCGAACGTCTCGAGTAGATCACATGTTGGACCGGTACACAACACTATGTACTTCATTCTGTAATCCTGTAATCGCTAAATATATATAACAAAAAAAAACATTACTGCCGATTTACACCTTTAAAAGGTGATAAGTCGAACATGACTGCCGGACGACAATGCAGCCACTACAAATCGCGCCAATACTACTATAAGCAACTTCGGTGAAGATATAGTAATTCTGATCTTATAAGAGCCTCTAACCTAATTCAAAAACATCTACACTTACTCCTATCTTGTCGTCGCGCCAACATCGAACGCACCGTCGAGCAACGCTATACTGTGAAGTTTTGCTTTAAACTTGGGAAATCTACGTCGGAGACCTTTGAACTCATTAAAGAGGCTTATGGGTATGTTACCTTAAGCTACACATTTTTGAGTAACTCAAAATGTTTAAAAAAGGTTGGGAGCTTGTCGAAGACGAATATTGCGTCGGACTATCGCCGAACCGATGCTCAGTTGGCCAAAGTGAAAAACGTTTTGGAAAGACATTTAACTATCGCCCTAATCAGTGAGGAGACCGGTCTTTCAGTCGGAACCGTTCACACCATTGTAACAGAGGACCTTGAAATGAGGAAAGTGTGCGCGAAGCTGGTACAATTGTTATGTGGCAGTTGCTGGCGAAATTCGTCGTGCAAACATTGCCTCTCCCTACAGAACAGACCTTTTTTTTTTCCTCCTTTAATCAACTTAAATCTTCTCACCACCGCGTTGTGATATAGCCCGAACTTATTCTAGAGTCAAATTACAACGCGGCGCTGCCTTTCCCGTTAGCCGGACCCCAGTGGTGGGTCCGTTGCCTGGGTTGGACCACGTAGAGGTGGGGGTAAGCCATCGCGTCTTTTGATTGGGTTTAAGTCTCGACCTTCTTTCCTGTTGGAGCAGTCTTTAGATAGATGCCCCTCCTTTCTGCACCTGTAGCAGGCCTTAGACATATCCGTTCCCTTACAGGCATGGGCGATGTGCCCACGTTCCAAATACCTGTAGCACTGATGCCCCTTATCAAGAATCCTCAGTCTACAGGGTCTACAACACAGACCTGGGTCCACCTGATTTTTTCTTTTTTCTGCGAGTGAAAAAGGAACTCAAAGAACTTCGGTTCGATTCCATCGATTCGGTTCAAATGGCGACGAAAAAAGGCTCTTAACAGTATTCCAGAAACCGACTTCCAGCAAACTTATAACTAGTGGCAGACACTCCGAACTAAGCTTATCGATGCAGGAGGAATGTATTTTGAAGATTATTAATTAATTGTAATGATACCTGCAATAAATTTTGATTTTTAGAACCAGTCCCAATATTTATTGAATGTCCTAAAACCCAAATAGTCCTATGGAATCCAGCACTGGGACTCATCCAACATGACAAATATTTCAATCAAAATGCCCCAACAAATTACTCATGCTCTTTCTTATATTTAAAATAACACTCTTCATATCCCAATGGTGCAAAGTGTAGCTAGAACATTCTACAAACGCTTTTACTTCAACCTTTTAAATCATCGTAATCCTCTAATTTAAGATAACTTTCCTACTTCCATCCCGGGTGACCCAGATAAACGTTTATACGTAACTTGTGTTGTGATCCATTAGCTGATTAATACCAGTAATTCAAGTCATGAAGTACTGTTAATGATCAGTTTCTTCAATCAAATTCACAATCTTATAACACTCCTAGATCACTTATGCTTATTGCAAAAATATATATATAATTTACAGATTTTACAAATTAAAAATTTGTATACCATTATAAATACTAGGATACAAGGAGAGGTGCCGTGGTGCATGTTGTTTGCTGGCGATATAGTGTTAATAGAAGAAAATAGGGAGGAAATTAATCAAAGGCTAGAGGTGTGGAGATCAGTTTTAAAAGAAAAAGGTTTAAGAATAAGTAAGAGTAAAACGGAGTATATAGAGTACGAGTTTGATAAAGGAGAATACGAGGTTGGTGAAATAAGACAATAGTCGAGGACGTGATTGGAGAGGTGGTAAGTTTTAAGTATTTAGGATCAGTTGTGCAAAAAAGCGGTGGTATTGACGAGGATGTAAGACACAGGATTAATTGCGGGTGGTTGAAGTGGAGAGAAGCGTCTGGTGTCTTATGCGGTAAAAGAATTCCAATGAGGCTAAAAGGTAAATTCTACAAGACAGAATTCTACCGAGACCAGACATGATGTATGGTTCAGAGTGTTGGGTGGTTGATAAGAAAGTAGAGCAGAGATGAAAATGCTTAGATGGATGAGTGGAGTGACTAGAGAAGATAGGATAATAAATGAGAATATAAGAGGGAGTATAGGTGTAGCGTCAATCGTGGATAAGATAAGAGAAAATAGACTTAGATGGTATGGTCATGTTATGAGAAGAGAAGAATCGGAAGCCGTAAGAACAGTTGTAGAAATGAATGTTGAAGGAAAAAGAGGTAGTGGAAGACCAAAAAAGAGATGGAGAGATGTCATTGAATGCGATATGACGACAGCTGATGTGAGCGTGGAGGATGTGGGAGATCGTGTCAAGTGGAAGTTTAGGATAAGGGTGGCCGACCCAAAGTAATTGGGATTAAGGCGAGAAAGAAGAAGAGATTTACTGGTACACACACTTTTGATATAAATTGTGCAAAGTAAAAAATAGCAAGCCAAAGTCATTTCATTAATTCGGTTTGTGCATTGAAAATCATAGTGTAGGTAAAAAATGAACCTAAACACAACCCGCCTTTACTTTTTATTTTTTTCCGTTGTCTTTGGAATTTAATTATAAAGATTTAAAATTTTTATTTGCTAATACAGAGTCATTGTTATAACCTGATTAGATTTTTCAATGAATGTATGTTGAAAAGTACTGGTTTAACTGGTAAATGTTCAAAAAAATAAATAAAAACAAAATATTTATAGTTTTAAATTAATTTTATTAACATAAAATTATAACCAATTTATAATATGGGAGGATTCTGATGAATAATTAAATGACCTAACCAATCAGTTTTTGCAGGAGAGCTTGAAGATAGTAAACTTGGACTTATATCCATATTTTCAATTAGGGATGAGTCTTTCTCTTCGTCTTCTTCTGTAGTCAGACTACGGCTTAAGCTATCATCAAAGTTTCTAAAGAGATTGGACATTATTACACTCTTTGATCTAGAAAATAATGAATATGGTTTTAAAATTAACTATAGAAAAAGTACATTTATACATGTATATATAATTATATTTAATCAAGTAATAAAATTTTTTTATATATCATCTTTCGGTGAGATTAATGACATCTCAAATTTGTTATATGTACCAACAAAAATTTTAAAACAATAATAATCTAAACAATAACCCAGACAAATTTAATACATTTATATTTTATTATGTATACATTTTAGTTATTATCATTTCACCTAGTCTTAATATATACAATATTATTATGCCTTAATATCATAATTTTGGTTTAAAAGATAAAAAACCACGTATGTATACAATTTTCAAAGAAAAAGTACATATTTAATTTATATTTAATATTGATTAACTTAGCAAAAAGAAATAAAATAAAATTTAACAAATTATAATAAACACACTCACCTTGGTAAAACATAAGGTTCAAAAGGAAAAAATGCATAAAGCCATTCATCTTTAATAGATTGCTCTGTGATTCTAATATGCCCATCCATAACAGTATAGCAATATGTTAGTTGATAATTTTTTGTAACTAAAGCAAATTGACTTGAAACTCTTGCACAGCACAGTCGTAAAGGGCTTAAACGAGAAGTCACTATTTTTGATAGATTTAAATTTTCCATAAACTTTAAATCTATAGTAAAAAAAAATAAATAATTATGAATAATGAAAAAATAAAAAGAGTGAAATAATCGAGTAAAAAATACACAAATAAATTTTGTATACAACTAGCATTTAAAAGATTTTTACAATTAACAATACATACTTCTTTTACTATCCATTAAATCTTCATGTCGAAATGAAATTATATAAAATAATGATTGACACAAAGAATAGAACACAGCGTGCCATCTTAAAAGTTCTTCATTAACAACTTTTACTGATTTATCAACTCTGTTTATGTAATTATTACACCAAACAGACATATCACCAACAGTATTTTTCAATACGCTATTGGATAAAGAAAATAATCCATTTAAAAAGTGTCCGATATAAATAAGAATATCATAAAATACTTACTTAATAGAAATAAAAGGTGCTCTACTCATGAAGCTAGCCAAATATCCAGCAGCAGCTTGACGAATAGTCGATGGGGCAGACACATCACAGCACTTTTTCCATAACCAACAACTAAATTTTTCAGCTAATATAAATTTAAAACTCAAAAAGTAATAAATAATATATTGTACATGACTACTAGCATAAGTGGGTAAAATTTCACTTTCAAATACTGATAAAAGATCTTGATACAACAGCTTAGTGTTATCCCACCTGAACAATGAAGTCAACTTAAATATCAACATGAATTCATGAAGTAATTTTACATAATTGTATCATAACTTACAATAATACTCCTTCTTTGTCATAACAAAATGTTTTAATGTAATCAAATATTCTCTTTAAACACATATCTAATGTACACACAAAAGATTCTGATTCTTGTATTTCAGGACTTGCTGATATACAATCTCCATCAACATCCATAGCAAAAATATTTTCTTCTATTTCATTACTTGAACAGGACCCCAATCTTTCTAATTCTTCTTTTGGAATATGTACATCAATTTCAACTAATCTACAAGATTGAAACCAAAATAAAATTTTATTTTACTCATATAATTACTCTACCACATTATATCTATTTACTTACTTATTAATCATTAAATTCAATATATTTCTTCTTAAAGAAGGTTCATACTGAGTAATTAACAACAAGTTGTGCACATAATGTAAATGTACTTCAGGACTGCTTTTTTTATATGGAAACTTCTTTTGTAAAGTTGTCATCAATATGTCTTTTGATCTAAAAATTATAAAATCAACACAAAATAGTTATTAGTTGACCTAGTTCAAGTACTCAATCAAAAATCTCACAGAGGTATAGTATTTAGTAAAGCCTTCAGTGTTTCATGCACATTTTGATATCCTTTTTCTTCACTTTCATTTGGCATACCATATATTCTATCAATTATAGAATTATCAACTAAAAAAAAATGTGTTTAGGGTTAAACCTTATTTTTCTACCTTTTAAATATTTACTTACCTTGAGAAAAACAAGACACTAGCTGTTCTATGGCAAACTTTGTATGGTAGTTGTAAGCAGAACATACATCTAACAAAAACGCTCGATATTCATTTACAACTTCTTCACTTCTATCCTTCCATTTTAATATCTAATTAAGATAATATAAAATAATAAATTATGTTAGTTTTAAAATATCAAGGTAAAGTTGATGAGATAAATTAATTTTAATTCATTTTAACTTGTATACTGTGTATCTATTAGAGCATCTCAAATATTCAATATTCTTGCTCTATTATTTTAGTATCTTCTATAATATTAATTTAATATTTTTGTGACATAATTTAATTTTACTTAGAAGTAATAAATTTCTTACTACTTAAGAAACTTTTACATAAATAGTTTTAATTACAGTTTTTAGAATTAATTTTTAAGATAACTAAAAATAAATATCTGTTTTTTTACGATAAACTTATGTCACACATATAAATATTTGAAATTATAAATTATATAATTTTATTTGAAATAAGTAAAAGTTACAATTTTCATATTACAGTTGGTGTTTTATTACACAATAGTGATAGCAATAACATATATATATATGTTATTATATTTATATTTCATTTGTAGTATTGTATCTTACCAGTATTACTTTAACAAAAAGTGTAAGATTTTCATTTAATATATTCACACAATTTCTAGCATCTTTTAATAGTTTCACTAGCTCAGCATCCTAAAAATAAATTAATAAACTAATTTAACATTGATATTAAAATATAAACTAGCACATAGCATTTAAGTAAACCTTTTTTTTCTCAATGTGAACCTTCTATCCAGTGAGTGAAAATTATTTTACTAAATGACCATGGATCACTATAATGGTTCTCTAATAAAGTCAATAAGAAATTTAGGAACTAATATAATACTTATTGAATACCCATAAATAAATATTTTTAAGTATTTATTAAATTGTTTTGTTGTTTTATAACAATTTTTACCATAAAACTCTCACCTGTATTGCTACAACAAGCCATTTTTGCATGGCAATAAATTCTTTCACAGAACTCTTCATTAAGCCCCCATATTAACAGTCTTATTTCAAGGACATCATTCACTACAAATGTTTGGGAAATTTCTTGGGCATGGGTACAATCTGCAATAGATTTACTGTGACTGAATCGAATAAAAGTGTAATAATTTAAGTATAAAATCAGTTCAAATTAACTTGGTATACATTTATTAAATTGAGTCTCTAGCTTATAGGATTTAAAGGGTTTTTGTTAATTTTATAAAGATAATCTAATAAAATTTTCTAAAAATATGTTTTTCCCTAATAATTTTTTTATACAAATTACAATGTTAATAATAAGAATTATTTTTATTTATTTTATTTCATTAGATTAATTTAATTAGGACATGACTTAAGTTTTAACATCATGCTTTGATAAAAAGTCATTAACAAGAATATGGTACACAGTAATACACAGAGTCAAGTGATGTACATATATATTTTGAATAATTATTTTTATTATTCAAAACTTTCAGTTAATATCATAAAAAATTCTGCCAATACACATAAGTTGAAAAGTTTTATGCTATCCTTCACAATAAATTAGTCAAAGACTGATTTGCTTTATTTCTAAAACCTTAATAAATTTTAATTTGATTTGTTGGTTTGATTTTTAAAGAAATCGGTAAAACTTGATTGAAATAGTGTTTTGTGGAATAATTATCAACTTTTTAATTCAAATGATAACATTTTTTTTGCTATAGCTGAAAAAATTAATTTTAACATAAAATTGTTTTAAAAATAACCATGTTTGAACATATATACAATTTGATAAATATATTTTTACTAATTAAGTATATATTAAGTAAGTATTAAAAACATAAAAGAACTTATCTTACCTTAATTTCTGCTGCAGCATCTCTAATGTCACATATTAGATTGTTATAATGTAATTTTTCTTTATCATTATTTTGATTGAAATTAATCAGCAATGACTTCAAATTATCAACAAGGTTAAAGTGGACTTTTGGTTTTGGAATATTATTTAAAGTGGAAACGTTTTTTTTCCTTAAAATAGAGGGTACACTAGTACTTGGTGGTCTTAAGTGGTGTGAACCACTCTTAGGAGTGCGATACGATGACATTTGAATCTGTAAATGATTTCATTAATTTTTTTAAATGAATATACTAAAAGTGAACGTACTAAATTACATAAGAAATACATTAACTATAAGTTCCTAATTTTTGACCTTGAAACTTTCTTTACTTAATCAAAAATATTTTAATGATTAACTTTTTAACTAATAACAATTCAAGCTATTAGCAAACATAGATTTCAAATTAAAATAAATCATCTATGATGTACAAAATATTTTAAGGACTATTTTATGAAATGTCCTAATATTGGAACAATGAATGCCACATAATCGATATTGTTATAAAATAAAATTTATCTTATCTAAGTATAAAATAGAAGTAGTACTATTATTCAATACAGTATTTTATTATAATTTGCGTACCTCAACATTCGACGTAAAACTGAGCTGTAGCTCAGATATCCACGTGTTTTATCAACAAGAGCACTTTCAATAAGATGGTTGACTTAATATTCTGTGAAGAATAATCAATGAAGCTTATAACAATTAAAAACATGCAACGTGCAACAAAATTTGGAATCACGTCGTAAATTAATCGTTCAACACAAATACAAATGTGTACAACGTCACAGCCGCAAGTTAACTAGCATAACCACAAAATTTTTTTATCAAAATTTATCACAATTTTTTTGAAACAGCTGTTTGTTTTTAACGATAAACAAGATAGATAGTGTAGGTAATAAGTACTATGTATTGTATAGTATGATGATTTCAAAATGCCCAGTCGGAACCATAAAACACGGATACATCTATTGACGTAAATAAAAAGTTGTACTATTAGTTATTATATACACCACGAGATAGCGTATAGAAGCTAAGAACTATTTAATATAATATTTTTTAATTTTTTCAGATGTATAGAAAATTGTTTATAGAGAACTATACGAGGTACCTTTTACTCAGGTTTTTGAAATTAAATAGTTGAGGAATCTTTAATAAATTTAGATGTCCGAAGGGGTTACCAGGAATGTAATTACATCCCCTAAGATTCTTCATGTCACAATCTTAGTCATTTTATACATACCTTAGTGGATGTTTAATTCTTTGTGAAAATGTTTCCCTAATTATAATATTACCAAGTTTATTATTACTAACAATAAATGAAAATTTAAATTATTTCTTGAAAATTATAAACTTGCTAAAACACTGATTAGGTAAATATAATGTTGTAAGTATATCGATTAAGATTAAGTCTTATTTGGGCAATGTTGGGACCATATGCATACGGATTACACTAATGTCAATAAATTTTTTAGTAGCAAAACAGTACCATTCAAAAATTTTTTTTGTGGCATATTAGGGGTTCTTTAAAAGAAAAATAATTTAAGGGTAGTAAAAGTTTTCTTATTTCGCCCCTCTTTAATGAATGGCAATTAACAAATTTTAGTACTTTTCAGTGTAAATAACAAAAAAAGGGACATAAAAAAAATAATTAAAATTATTTTATAAAGTGGTACATATGTCTATACGACTTCACCTACCTTTTAGCTTCGATGCGAAGCTGAGAAGGTATTAATTTTACCATGATGTGTTTATTTATTTTTTATTTTTATTATTTTTTTTTTTTGTGTCTGTCACTACTTTTTCTCAGCTCTCACTGGACCGATTTCTTTCAACAATACGTCAAAAGATCACAAATCGTATCTAGTTGAACACATTAAAATTGAAAAATTTTCCCTCGTTCCCCGCAAACGGGGGAAATATCCAAAAAAATTACAAATTTAAAAATCGGTAAATTTTGTCATTTTTTTCACTTTTTTTTTCTTAAAACTTCCATAACTTTTTCAAAAATCAACATATGTTTTTTTATACTAAAACCTTAGATACTTCCCTTTCATTTGATATCATTTTTTTGAAAATCTAATACTTAATCTACTTATTGGGTATAATTAAGGAAATAGAAGTTGATGTTGTTTTTGTCCATAAATTTTTTAGAATTTTTTAAACACTATCTACAGATTTGCATCGAAGCGTTTCTAATGATAGTGATTTTAATCTCTGTCAGAATAAATCTATACTGGACCTAACTATGCAACGTCCCCACTATGCCGCTACCCCACTGTGCTGGGTTTTTTTTATGTCGTAGCCATACATTAGTAAAACTTTAAAGTTTTAGTAATAGAATAATATATTTATAGCTTTTTAAGTGTATGTAAATGTTAATTTTGTACGTAAAAAGGTTTATTAATACCACTACGATATAGTAATTTACCTGTTGTAAGAATTTTAATTATAATTCAAAATTCCAGCTAAAATACTAAAACCATAAAGGTGTGAACAAAATACCTGTGTCATTATTTTCAGATGTCTCATTCATTATTATTCATACCTTATTTAACTGGAGAATGAGTAATGTAGTTTCGATTAAAAACTACAATAGTCAGAGACATGTTATTGTGTGTACGATTAAGTTATGTTACGTTAAATGAAACAAAGAATTAACAAAATATATAATTGATATAATGCGTACAAAATATTTGAAATAATATCTTTTTTATATATAAAAAATATAGTAAATTATTTTTCTGGTTTATTTTTTTTGTTTTGAGAATATTTGGGTGTTTACTTTAACAGGGCCGAATATACTTACACGCAAAATAAGTGTTGATTACAATTTCAGCACGGGCACTTTAAACGAACTGCCATGACGTGCGATTACACCACTTCGATAACAACGCATCATGATATCTGCAACTGATATAATGATGACATATTTTATAGATGACACCATTACCGGAACTATAATAGTTCTAGTGAACAATACATACAGACATAAAATTCGCAAGGTTTCAATTTTGTACTAGGAACAAATGTTCATAATAAACTCTTCAAACCGGTATCGATATTAGATACAAAATACCTAATAGTATAATACCGGTATTCAGTAACAATTAGTAAAATACAATACAAGGAATTTATAAGGACTATTGTTTGCGATTATATAACCTTTTTGAGACACCTAAGTGACCAACGTCTCATTAGTGATTATTAAGCGGACACCAACATTATTCAATAAGATGTTTGAATCAATCATGTTACCTTTCGACGATTATCATGAGCTCCTGGTATTAGAATTTTAATTTCCATCTGAAAATCATTATCGCAAAATCTTGACGCTTTGATATTTCAAATTCATACAACTAAATTATTTTTCTGCATGTCAGAAGTTTTCAAAACTTGCATACAATTAATTATCATACTGGTGTAGAGGAAACACCAGTGGTGTACTCAAGATTTTTTCATGTGGCATTTATGTATAAGAAATCACCGCCTCCCTCAAAATATCTTCCTTATAGACAATTCATCCTCAAGCTAAGAAAACGAATAAAAAATGTAAATATGTACTAAAAATGTAAAACAAAATCACTATTTTTAATGTTAATATCTTACAATAAAACACTACGCGATATAATATTATGATCAAAAACTTGTAAAAACATATATTATGTCGAAACATTTTATTATATAAATAAAATATACAAGAAAAATTTTTATAACCCCATCCAAATTGTATTTTAAAAGTGCGTTTGTTTTAGTGTAGTTGAATATTAAATTTGGTGAATATCTTTTAGAAACATCTGTATACATTATGTCCGGTTTACACTATGCGTTGTACTTGTCATTATTATTTACACTCTCAATGACACCGTCTATGTAAAAAGATAACAAATATTATTAGTGACTAGTAAAATCGGAAGTGATAATAATATATTTCTATTTACTTGCGATTAGTAGCTATCCTTTACAAGTTTTTACCCTACAAACGCCCACGCCGCAAAGTGTAGCCACGAGATAATAGTATTAGTGCTTGTAGAAGAAATAATTTAATAACGATTCACTCTCATTTACTAATACTGTTATTTTTTAATTTGTTGTACGTGCGAACGCGATGTGATTGAGTGAAAACTACTTGTAAGAGTGATGAGTACTAATGAAAAGTATAACGCATCGAGTAAACGAGGCATAACGTAGTGCAAATTTTGTTTAGACTGTATTTTTCTTTTCAGAATTTTATATTGTCTTGGTTTGTTTAAACGAATTTATGAGGATTTTAAAACCATGAGGATTTGGAGTTCAAAGTGAAGTTATTTTTCGTAGCATAAGTAGGCCTTAATATATAGATTATCTCAGCTTTGTAACTATTAATTCAGTTGAAATATTAAAAAAAAATTATTTCTGCTTTCTTAGACAACTCTTGAATCATTTTTTTTTTAACATTTTGATCAAGTTACAAACATTAAAACGCATAAAGTAGGCGTGGGGCGCCGGTGGAGTATAAGTATATCTATCCAGTTGCGATACATATTACTCTGTACACAGTGAACGGTTCATCATAATACTCGCAAAATAAATATTATATTGAAAAAAAAAGTTCAATTTCTTTTATTTACTTGTATTTCTTGATTTATTAGCTATTAATTACTTTTTAGGGTCATCCCTTATGTCTTATAGGAGTGTCAACTCAATTTTTTAAAATGAATCGATACATAATTAATAAGTTTAGAAAATTGAAAATTATTTAATTAAGAAAATGATTGGTCGATAGCAACTTTTGGACCAGTATTTAAGAAGTTATAAATAATCTAAAGTATTGACTGGAGGTGAGGAGTGGGTGCAACTATTTTTGTCACTAGTTATTTCTCGGGCGTACTCTTCGTTCCGGTCATTTTCTTAATTAGATTATTTTCTATTATATAAGTAGTTAAATATGTATGTTACCATTTAAAAATATAAAGTTGACGTCCTTTTAGGTTATACGGGATGATTCTAAAAAGTCATTATTAGTTAATAAATAAAAAAAATATAAGTAACTAAAAGAAATCAACAATTTTTTACAATATTGTATTTGTTCTGCAAGTAATTGAGTGGTTTTTGATAAACCGATCACTCTGTATATTAAAATGCTTGCAACTCGATGAGTACTTGTTATTATTTGAGCGATTTTTATGAAGTTTAAAAATGCTCTTTGAAAATGTGTTATACATGTGTAAAATGTGTATAATGAAACAAGATACTTGTTCCATTGTAACATTAATTTTATTTATTAAAATTCGAAGAATAAAATGTGAAGCAAAGAAATTCTCTCCTTAAAATGTACTCATACTAGGAATGTGAAAGGATCCAATGTCGCCTTTTAGAAAATAATTTTGCTATTCTCTTTATAATCAAATTTTTAAACGTTTATATAGAATATCTATATAAATTTCAATTTTTAAGAATTATTAAAATTACTCATTCTAAACACATGTAGATAATGTTTGTTGTCTAATAAAAACTAATAGTTTTACTTTTATTAGAGTATATATTAGAGAACATTATAAAAATTAGTCGAATGTTACAAGAGAATTAGAAAACACGTGGTACTTTATATGCATAAATTTGATGGGATTCTACTTGAAATTACTTAGAATACCGATAGTTGAAAATATTCTGGTAGCCGAACATTACACGTCAAGTATTACAGCTAACATTTTTTAGTTATGTAGTCAAGTATCTGTGTAAGAAAGTTGAATTTACTTCAATCAGCTTGTGTATGTAGTTTGTAACAAATGTATTGTGATTAAATTTTTGTAAATCGGGTCCTTTTTTAATTTTTTGAAGTTTATTAAATTTCTGTTCAACTGTTTTATACATTTTATATGTAGTGTGCTTATGACAATACAAAGCAGTTACGATTCGACAATCGGTCCTTTGATGTAGGCACTGTATATATGATTACACACAAGTGTTTCACAGATAAGTAAATGTACATACTATTGTTTTAAAATTTCTTTGAATTAAACTTGAATATTTTTGTATGTATGTTATTTATATGTAAGTGAAAAATAAAGAAAATCATCTTCAATATATTCAAAGTTTCATAATAAGTATAATATTCAATAGGTAGAATCCTGTTAGTTTATATATTACAATAGAATCACAAATTTATTCAAACTTGGTATTGTATAATAGAATATGTAGTCATACTTTACAAAATATTTTGTTTAATTATATTTTGAGCTTTATTAGGTGTATAGCAAACCAAAATCTTATATTATTAGAATACAGTAAACACAAGAAAAAAATCTTTTAGTAAATGTTCATATTTATATTTGATTGTTGGATACTTATAAAATATTTATAAAATTATAAAATTTATGGTTTGTAAATATTGATGGGTATATCATTTGTGAAAAAAATGTATTATGATTTTCTGTATTCATTTTATTATTTTTTTATTAGCAACAAAAAAAAAAAATAAATAAAAGTTAAATTAAATATAATTTATTTGTTATTAGAACTATTTTGTAGGTTACTTCATTTTTTTTTTAATGGTTTGTAAGCGCAGACGTATATAGGATTTTCAATTATAGTCGTACAAATGCAAGAAATATCTTAAGTTGATCAGAATTTTACTATTTATTTTAATTAAAAACTATGTACATTTATAAAATCTCAATAGTTATTTCAATAGCACCGTGTTAGAGGAAAGAGTGATGTGTTTACAACGCAAATTAAGTCAACATTTTATCCCAATGTTTGTAGGTCTATTTAATGAATAAATCTTAGTGAAATACGTATTGCATCAAGTTGAATATGCCTTATATTGTATGTTTGATTGTGTTTATGTTTTTAGGTTTATTTCGAAAGTAAAACTTCTTATCTCGAACAAAGAACCGAAGTGATATTCTGATAACTTAATTTATTTTGAATAGTTTCCAAACTGTCAGTGTAATAATAATTGTAAATTATATAACATGCACACGAATGAAGTCTTAGACTGTTTTTAACAAAGTATGTGATTGTTTGGGTAAATACAGTTAAAACTTTATGTTTAAGTTAGAATATATTAAATTAATGTTTTGTTCTGTATTATTATTTCTGAAAAGTTTTTGTAACATTTTGATTCTTAGAATAAGTAATATAATACATATTGTTTTAGAATAAGTAAAATTCCAATTTTAAGAGAAGAAAGGATAATGATTAAGATAATGTTTGCAATGCATTTTTATCAGTTTAATTTAAGAAAACACAATTGTATTGTTGCCTTCATTTTAAAAGTGACCAAAAGTTCGTTTGTAGTTTTAGAAAAAATCAAGTTTTATGTAAATTTTAATTATACTAACCATTTAAAATCAGGACCGGAGTTAGAAATGCGCAACTCTGGATCCGTACTCTAGTTATATAAGAGAAGCTTTAAAAATGTACTTTTTCATTCTTTACCTCATTCTTGATATTAATGACTCTTATTTTTATCAATAATAAACAAAAAAAAACATCAATTATATTTTTTGTTCTAGTGGACAAAATGTATAACCCTTGTTATTTTACGAGATATTACTTGTAAATTTATGTGGTAATGTTTTATTTTAACTTAATTATTTTCATTTTCACCAGAAAAAAATGATTTGTTATTATTTATTTGAGTACAAACATATTTAATTTCAATTATTCAGTACTAAATAACTTTAAAACATTTAATTATCTGTATGAAACTGGACCTTCACACGTACAGGTGTATAATGAAATAGTTCAACATATCATTTTACTCTTAATTCGTTGTACTTATTTATGCAAACCAATTTTTTCAAATATCTCATAAATGATTTTTCTTGCATATTTCGGCGTAACACTAACTCACAAAAAATTGAAGTTATAAATGTTAACTTAAAAAATCAAGTTTTACTTAATGGAAAAACCACAACTATTATTATTTTTTATTTTCATTACAGCTATTGATCTTCAAAGAATACAATTTTAAGTAGTATCCACTGTAAGTCTAATAATAAAGAAGGATCAGAGGTTCCTTTTTGTAATAGTATTTTTTGTCACTTCGATAAGTCGAATGGTCGGAAATGGAAATACTTTTATTAAGGAAAAAAAATTTGTCACAAAAACATCATTAAAACGAAAGATTCGGAAATATTTCACTATTGAATTGTGCTTCGAATTTACAATTAATAAAATTTATATTAATGTAATTATTTCACAAAAAAACCTAAAGAAATATAAGAAATAATATTTTCATGTTTTATTTGTAGATGTTTTTGTTATAACAATTATTTTCGTGAATTGCACTTCATGGGTTCGTGTTAGATTATTAATAGAAAATAAAAATATAGATCCAATAATGGTATTTACACGTCTCCAAAATCGTCTTGATATGATCCATTGGGGGTCCACTCGATAGAAAGTAAATATAAGTGAAATAAAGTCCTATTTTATTATCTTCGCCCTAAAATAAGGTGATTGACCTTCTATTTCTTTCAAAAATAAAATAATTATTAATGCTAATGAAATCAAATACCTTGGGCTAGTACTAGACAAGCGATTAAACCTGGTCATCACATTTTAAAATCCAAACGTAAAGCTGTTAACTCTCGACTTCATCTTCATCATATCCTCCTAAGATTCAAAATGTCCTTAAATAATAAGCTAACTCTTTTCAAAGCTATAATAAGACCAGCGTGGTCTTATGGTATACAATCTGTAATCGGCAAGGCCCTCTAATCTAAGAACTATTCAGCCCATATGTCTACGCCAAATAACTTTTATTCCATGGTGTATCACGAACAACAACATTCACAAAGACCTAAGAACTTCAACCGTCAACCAATTAGCTAAATCCCATTACTTTTCTTTCCACTCTAAAGTAAAATGTCACGTCAACCAACCTGTAAAGCAGCTATTCTCGCTAACCTTCCCTGACCATCGACATAGAAGATTAGAGCTAGCTGGCTAATAGATATTTTGAAAAATTAATAATAAGTAAAAAAAAATAATAATAATAATCTAATAAAATAATTTGTCAGGGGGCACCATTGGTTGTTTTTCCTTAATAATGTCATTCATGTCATTGTATTAAAATTTGTTTTAATAATTGTTTATTGTACAACAGATTTATACATTTTCTTATAACTAATAAAAAAAAATATTCAGTAATGTAGTTAGGATTAGAATTTTGAAATAGTTACTATGTATAAGTAAAAATAAGTCCAAGGGTTTCCCAGCCTTCACAAATCAAATTACTCTGATTGAAATAAAATCCTAATTACGTTATTACGTTTAAACGCGATTATTCAAAACAAAATCTTAGAATGTAATTGGCACCGATAGCTAAATTTCAATCTGATAATCTATAATTTAATTTACTTTAAACTATTAAATAGTTTACTGGAATATGGTTCTGAAAAGAAATGACTAATTTTAGTTATTATTTGTTTGTTTAAAAGAAAGTAATCTTATATTGCTATAATTACGTAGTAATGTAGGATCATAATAATAATAATATATTACTATATTGCATGTATTACAATACTGTTATAATTGTACCATGTACAACTTTTGTGTATAAAAAAATAGACATCGTATACTTTTACAAACTTAAATTATTTTTTGATACTTTTTGAATCGCAAAGATTAACTGAAATCATATTTTTTTTTTCAAAATACACACCTTTTCAAGTCTAAGAAAAATATGTATTTGTTTTCTGTATAATAAAAATGAAAAATTTTGAGTTGAGTTTGATAAAAAGTGATTTAATCATTATAATACACATACAAAAATTTACTTTGGAGGAATGCAGAATGGACAAGATTACCCGAGTCCTATACAATAGTGTCATTGGGGGAATGGCAGCGTGTGCGATTGCAACTTTTGATGTCAGTAGTCCACAAAAATAAAACACAGCTTCAAAATATTTAGCCGGTACCGGTCTAATACAAATGTTGTTAATCAGTTGAAATGAAATCTGATTAAATTTAGGCATGAAACTATAAGCACGATATGGAATAAGAACCCGCATCCCATTGTGAGACAAACCTTACTACTTATCCATGGTGCACTTTTGATTCAGATTCAATACACTTTCATATAGTATGATAACGAGATGTGCGGCCGAGGAAAACATCATAAACTTGTAATTAGGATGTAAATAAGGAAATACGATTTGATATTGCTTTTAGAATAATTTATTTATTAAAGATAAACGCCCAATAGAGCAAAATACAGTACTAATAACTATAATACAAAACGTACAATTCCTTGTAAAAATTAAACACTATCTACAGATTTGCATTGAAGCGTTTTTAATGATAATGGTTGTTACACTGTCAGATATAATCTATGCTTGTTCCAACTATGTCCCCACTGTGCTGTTTTATTTTTTAAGTCTACAGCTTTTTATTTGTTTTACACATCAAAATAAAAATTAGATACATTTAAAACATTAAATGAGTATCTTTGTAATACATTTGTTGAAAATGTTCAAAACGTCATAAAATTTTTATTGTAATAACTTACGTGATAGTTTTGTTATTTATTTGCATCGTGATACATGAAAAAAGTTTATAAAATAGAGCAAGGTTATTTCTTGGTATAAATCTGGTTTATTGTCCAGTAAATATATATATTTTATATTATAAAATATATAAATTTAAATATATAATATATAAATTATTTCGTAGTAATGTTCTTGCGTTTTTGTTAAACATAAAAAAAAAACAAAATTATTTATTTCGAACTGGATAATATATAATGTAGAAAATTCATAAGTCGTACATTTTAAGATGTTCACTTTATATCTTTAGTTAAATTCCGGTGCTTTGATTTAGTACATTCTATGCTGTAGTACGTTAGAGTCTTTTTTGTTACTTCCTTCTTGTGTGTATAGACATGTATTTGAACAGTTTTTTTGAAAAGAGGTTTAAATCAAAATGATAACTTTTCTAGAGACCAACTAATTTTTCCTACGTGTTGGTAAATAGGTATTTTATAATCCACACAAAAAATAGTTATATTACCTATAAAAACCACTTTGATACTACTGAATGTAGTTAAAATTTTCTAAAAAAATAATAAATAACGTAAAATGAACTTGACCTCTTTCTCAGAAAAATCTTACATTTCTTTTGCTAGTTATCCACAGAGTATTTTTTTCATGCCATAATACAATTTGAAAATATAGTAAACTTATTATATTACATATTTCTACTCTAAAAAATTAATCTCCATAAAAACTAGAGGCTTAATTCATTAAAAATTTCAATCTGTTAACTTAATGACTGTTACTTTGTACTTTAAATTTCTTCAAAAATAATTACAATGTATTAATTGTAATGTATTTAAGATTTTATTTGTAGTGAATTTTAATTGAAATAAACATTTTTTATCAGAAATTAAATAAAATTAATTTGATAAATAATTTTTAATGTCCCAAAAAATTATACAATCCGTGTCTATGTAGACAAAAAAAAGACCCGTAAAACTTATTTATTTCAAATTATTTTATTGTACAGTAAACAATGTACATATAAACTATTTCTTCACGGAAAATTTTTTTATTCTCACCATAACCTACGTAAATGAGCAAATTGCCACAACTTTATACATTATTATTTACTGTCCTATGAATTTAGATAGTAAAATTTGACGAGTCGACATTTCAAAGTCGTACACTCGTTCGAAGTTATAACTAGTATATATATATATTTTTTTACCATTTTTAATGAGTTTTTGACAAAATTATTTTCAGTAATAATATAAACCAGCCTTAATCTTTTTTCGTTATTTATTTACAAATCTATTTATATAATTTTAAAAAAATCCTAAGAATTTATTTGTAAGTTTCATTTTCAAATATTATAAATTTTTCTTATTCGAAAACTTGTATGCCTAATTTACCTAAATTAAGTTTTAAAGTTAGAAAACAAATTACCTTTACGAGTATGTGTTGTTTTAATTTAGGGACAATAGTGGTGCATTTTTCACGAGAAAAATTAAATGTAAGAAAAATGTTTCTACCTTATCAAATAAAAATAAATATTATACTATGTTATAAGTTCTTATCCCAAAGATGAATGATATTTCTTTGTGCTCGCTTTGGTGACTTTATTTAAAATTATACGAAAGAAAGTATGTGAATTTATAATAATTTATTAGTAAAGATTAATTTAATACTTGGCTTTCTAAGTGTATTTAAAAAATTGAAAAATGACTATCTATAATTTTGTGACTAGTATTTGAACAAAAGTAACACTAAAACAAAGTTAGCAAGTTCTTAGAAAATGTTAATTTATATGTATACGGTTTATAAGTTTGTATTACTAAATGAAAGAACTATTTTGAATAATATTCAAAAACATTAAGGTAAAATAGTTTTGAAATATAGGATGTCGTTCATTCATAATGTGTGTTGAGATAAATATATAAACTTTCGAAGTATTGAAGTAATCAAAAAGTTATCTAAAGCAAGACTGAGAGGTATGTTTTTTATGACATCTCTCTAGTTAAAATGTAAATATTAGCATGGCAAACATCTTGTTTGGTTAGTAAAACGTTCAGACAGTCGGTACTCTGGATTTTCTGCACAAAAAAAGTTTACTTGCGATTAATGAACTTGCTTCATATTCTTTCTAATATTTTTGAACGAAGATTTTCTAGACTTCAAAACACTTAAAAAATAAATTATGTATAATCTAGTGAAAAATTTATTTTATTTATGTTCCAATCTATTGTTTAGATGGGTAATTTATACGTACATAATCATCTTGACGCTGTTATTATTATTCGATATAAGATTTACCTTTTAATTTTTTTTTTTAAGATTTACTTATGTATGGTTATATTTCCGTAGCTAGTTAATTATTTCTTCCTTAATATTTGTGTATTAAATATTTTCAACTATGTACCCATTTTTTAAAAATTATTTTGTAGACATCAGTCTATATATAGGGTATCATTTTCATAAAATAAACAATAATTGATGACTTATCAACTTTATTTTTATAGATAATTCTATACAAATACTTTTTCTCTGGAAAATAATACTGGGTAAATAAGATTTTTCTTTTGTTCACTTATTTTTCAAGAAATTATATCCACAGTTGTCGTTAATGAATTGTGACAACAGCTGGACACTAAAAATAAATATATTAAGGTAACGATAAAGTTATTGTTAAAATTTCATGTTTTTCAATTTTATTCAATGCAACCAGCTCATTAAATACAACATAAACATAGCCGGACAATTTAATTGCATTATTTATGAGTAACTAATTAAACTTGTATAAATAAATTTGTTTGACATTTAATTTACGAGGGAAGAAATGATCAAAAACAATAATATTTTTTCCATCAAAACTGAATTAATTAAAAAGCAAATACGAAATTTTTTTAAAAAATTACCAAATTAATAACCAAATTGATTTGTTAGAATGGCGTACATTTCACTAGCCCTCTCTTTTTACTTTATCCATAAAAAGTACAAGAAATATTTAGTATGCTATTAGTCTAAACTAGTAAAATAATGAACCCTTGAGAGAGTCGTGGAAACATTTTTCCGCTCCCCATAAAAAAAATACTGTAATTCGTTTGATTTTTCATAGTAGTTGTAGAAAATGTCTTACAAATATTAAATACTAAATATTACTTATACTTTTTATAGACGAGTTAAAAAAAGAAGGGCCAGAAAAATGCACATAAAATAATGCTTGTTCATTAAATTATATGCATATTATCTCATTTTGAAACGGTTATTTCATTTAAGTGTTTCGTTAGATTTCAAAAAAGTAATAAAATCATCAAAATGTTTTCGTACATTAGCTTTAAAGGGATTTCTATAACATTCGTTTTAATTTAAATAAAAACAAACGGGAAACGTACAATAATAGAAAGTAAAATATAGGATTCTATTGAGTAGGGATAATGATGGATTTCAACGTAATTGGCTGAAATATATTAACAACACATGGCGTTTTTATTTGTCGATCGGGTTGGTTTGAATATGAAAAATATTTTTTTTATTATTGTTGCCCAACTAACAACATCATAATATTTTAGGGTTTTGTATGTTTATAATTAAAATGTTTGTTTGTCGATAACAAACAATTAAAAACGATTAATTCGCAATGAAATAATTTTTACTATACGATGATTTAATATTTCAATTATTATTGATGTTAATTTAATAATGAAGGCGTAACGTTACATGCCGCGACCCGCGGTTTCGAAAGCTCAACACCGCTTAGAGCCGGTTCAAATAGGATTGATTGACAAAAAAAAAAAGTGTTTTAAAAAAAATATATTGCGCTTGCCGCTAATAGGCTATAGTGCAGCGAGGATATCATTTGGCAGCCCTGAGCGTGCGTATGGTCACCAGAGGGACCGTTTCGCCAGGGCTCATCACTCCAGTCGATCACGGTGGTAGCGTGTGGTTGTCGTGTGTTGCTGAAGACTTGGCACTTCTATCTATCTCTCTCTCAGTTTTCCCCTCGTTGACTCGAACGCTATAAATTGACATTTACGTTGTGTTTACATAACAACCGGAATTTCGCGCCCGTTTTGGATTAGTCCGCATGAGCGATCCTCTTATACTTGGATAACTTTGTCACACATTTCATTTTTCATCAGTTTGGACGATTTTATTGTCGTTATTATGGTGAGTAAAAAGAAGATTTTCCGATTGAAAATAAAAATATATTTTCAATGTCTTTTAGTCTAAGTTTTAAATTAACACAAGTGTTTTAGAATACCAGTTCAGAGTTTGCTTTAGTTTTTATAATCTCCGCTTGTAACACATTTTGATTTACAGTTTTATTAAAAATTATTCCAACGAGTTTTCATTGTTAATGTTCCGCGTCGTTATTTGAATTTGCTAACATGTATTTTTCTACGAAAAATTATGAACTCGGTATTATTTTTCGTGACATTATAAACATCATAACATAGAAGTAATTTTATTTATTATTTTCTTATTACTTATTCTTTTTTATTTATTCACGTGAATAATAATTAGATCTTTGGCCTATAATGGAGTTATATATTATGAATTCGTGAAAAAAGATTTAACTAAAAAATTTCGGCGCTAAATAAATGATAATTTGTCGGAATTTGTGAAACCGATAAGAAGAAAAAGGCACCACGTTTTTTTACACAACATCGCACAGCTGATAGGTGTCAGATTACTAGTTTCTTGACTCAAGTCAGTATATGCTTTATTATCAATATCACTCGTGCGCTTCCATAAACTTCGAGAATATATATATTTTAAATATAAATTGAGACAAACAGTGTACAGTTAGGTTAAGCCTTAAGACAATATTTTTAATTGTCAAAAAAAAGCAAGACATATAATTTGATTTAATTAAGTTGAAAATAAGTTTGAAGTAAAATATAAGCATAGTTAATGGTTTCCTGACAAAATTTGTATACGAATATTTTATCAAATAAACTTATGCTTGTTGTAACTTGCAACATAAAATTTGTTACAATGGACTTGAAGTGAACTTTAGTGAACTACTAATGAATTCCGAACAGATCGTCACATGTATACTTAAAAATGGGTACAATATTATGTTCGGCAAATTCAATGTAAATATCATTTAAATAAATATTAACCTATTCATATACTTATATGGCATTTATTTGATAATTAAATTTAGTCTGCAAGCTTTGTTTTTATTTTTTATTTAATAAAATTTAACTGTTAAAGGATAAGTTCTTAAAGGAAGTATATATACTTCTTAGCTATAGTTAAACGAATTAAAGACTTTTTATCTTATTCTTTTTTACAGAACATTAAGAACTGTAGTTACGGTTACATAAAATCGCTTTATCAGAATGAGGTTTTACTGATTAAATAAAACGAAATGGTATATAGAATGCAATAAGCTACAAAGTAAAAAATACCTTAGGACGTTTAGTTTTATTTGAAAACCTCTAAATCCCCAAATAATTTAAATAAACAAATATACCTGCTTTGTCAACAGGGATTAAACTATTTAGTTATTTAAATTAAACTTATAAATATTAAGTATAAAGTCAAGACATTTCTTATATTGAATGGAAAACGAAAGCGATATAAAAAAAACAATTTTATATTTTAGTTAGATAAATAAAAAGTTTGCCAATTTTATTCGAACGATTACTTGACAAATATTTTCTAGTTTTATTACTTATCGTTTTCCAAGTTTTATTAGTTTATTTTTTTTCCATCAAGTAGTTATATTTAAGAATTGTTTGCCTGCCAATACGAAACTCAATTTTTATCAAAATATCTTCATGATTAATTCGGATATTTTTTACTGACCCATCAATTAGTAAAATATTTTTTTTGTTATTATGTTGGGAGTTATTATACTACGGCTCATCGATTTATTCAACTCGCATGGCTGTTATTTACTTCTATTAAATTTTTTAGTATTCTAAATCAATATCTTTCGTTAAGACTTTTAAAATATGTATTCACTATAGTTAGTAGCAACATAAGTTATAACTTAAAAAATTTTTTTTTGGTACTTTAGATTTACAGTGTTAAACAAATTTTAAAATTTCATATTAAAAAAATCAAGTGATTTTACATTGAGTTTGGCAATAATCAGTTAATTTATTCGTTTTTTATAGCAATTTTTAAATTAAACTGTCTATATCGAACTCAGTCTACAATATGCTAATGACTTAAATTTGGTCATCTTTTATTTGAAACAATTCTCTCATATTCTTATTTATAAGATTTATTTAAATGTTTTGTTATTATTTTTTAAATTTTTTCCTACGATTCGCCATGAAAACGTAATTTAAACTTATGTTTTATGTTTTACTATTAATTTCAAATACCTATGTTACAAAAGAATAATCCATGAATGACAACACCAATCGTTGTTCAATTAAATTTATTACTGGAGAACTATTGAAAGTTTTGCAATCTTTATGACATGAATTAATAATTTATTGTATTTTAGTACTGATATCAAGGCTTAATTACTTATGTATTTAACAAAATTCAACTATAAGACAATTTTTTAAGTATTAATAGAGTCATCATAATTATATTTATATAAATATATAAAATATTCATAATAAAATAAATAATTTTAAACATAAATAAGCATAACTTGAGGTTCTCTGGTTTCTATAGAATCGTCTATCCATTTGTTAAGGATTTATCCGTTACAAAGTAACATAAAATCCTCCTTCAAAAATAAAGGTGATATGCAATGTGTATATTAATTCAAAATGCGCTGAAAATTGTGTAAAAAACTCGAAGTAAGATAAATAAATAAAACATTGCATAGAAATTAACTTAATTATCACAAAATAATGAAATTTTAATTATAACTTTAACGTCAAATAGCTAATTATTATTTTTATAGCTATAGTGTTTAATATCATGAAAATAATTAACAGTTTTTTACAAAATGGAAATAAAGCAACTATAAAATTTGCTTACGTTGAATTTAGTTTTTTTTTTTTTTTTGATAGCAAAAACAGTTTTATTTTTACAGTCATTGGGCGCAAAAAAATTAAATGTCCTTTAAAACACTGTCAATACGGCAGCAATATACTGGGAGCTATTTACTTTTTAGTGTACTGTCAGTATTTAATATTCTCTTCACTTTTTTTTTTTACGAATTTCGCTTATCCTTAAAGTAATTTGTTAAAATTCCAAATGAATTTTGCATATTTCTTTGTTGGAATTATAAACAATATTTTATTTAAATTGGAAAAAGTATTACGAGTTTAGATGTTTAACATTTTTCTTGGGATCAAATGTATAATGTTACTGCGAAATCGACATAGTTTGTCAATCGTAAGGGTCGTGGTTTTCTCATATATTTTATGGTAATGTATGAAACAGCCTTATGGTACGCTAGTTGAGGTTAGTGGGTATCAAAAGAGAAAATCAGTTTGTATACGAATGACGAGCGGAACGTTAAAGAGAGCAACAGCAGGGAAGAGTAACGCTGCTAAGGGAATGTAATAAATTTGGCGAAGCTTATTTCTTTGGCAAAATATAAAGAAAATGTCCTCTAACACTTCTGCCGTATACATACAACTTATTTTTATTATTATTCGTCCTGTTCTTTATGACGTTGACTGAAAAACTTACATTGCTATTGAGTGCTGTTTTGATGACCAAACACTCAATTTGTTTGGTGAGACATAAAAACGATATGTTTCGACCGAAAATCGCATTAAAATAGTGATTTTCGTCCAGTACCGGTTATTATCTGTGTAAATATTGTAATGGGTCATAAATTTTTTGTTACATTAATGACGATTAAATTTTTTTCATTGATCATTTGATATGATATCTTGTAATTCAATATATTTTATTGAGTATTTTGTTGAAATATGTTCAAGAATGCATTAAATTTTCAGGGTAAAGGCAAGACAACCAGTACAGTTTAATATTTTTAGCTTATCTAACGATTTTGGCATAGAACTGATAGATATTTCTTTATTTCAGTATGAGACGACGTACAACAAGATAACGCCAAGCAATGTAGCATAATTATTGTTCTTTGACATGAATCCATAAGGCCTAATTGTGTAATATTACTTTCTTAAAATATGTCAGAATAATTTAACTGTTAAATTCACCATGACAAAAATATATCTCTTTCGCTAATACAAAACTTACGACAAAGCTTCAAGCAGATATGGTTCAGGTTTCCATAGTAATAATATTTTACTATGTATCACGCTAAAATTTGTTTTCTACAAATTAGAACGACTCGGTTAAGATTAGTGCAGCCTTTAACTGAATTGTTTTATATTACTTTAAGCATAGATGATTTAATATTAATATATATGTTTATATGAAGTTAGACCATCATGTAAGCTAATTATTTATTCATGAGAAGTAAACCTTGAAATCCACCCAGATAAAATAGATTTACATTATCATGATTAAACTCTTGTAATTAGAATTAACATATTTGTATATTCTATGTTAAGTTTACAATTATTTCGTCGAGTTAAATAATTAAAGTGTTTTGCGTAATGATTCAATTTTAACGGTATAAATGAGATATAGTCTTAATATTCTTATCGAAATTCAACTATTGTTTTTGTTATATTTTATAAATTAATTCAACTTTGGAAACGTCATTTAAAATAATATTATTTAATTTCTAATAGTCTTTAATGTTGTTCAAATGAATGATATACATGAGTATATTAAACTACTACTTAATGGTTTTAGTCAGAAATTTTATATCTGTTAAAGATTTATTCATGAAATCTGTATTTGAAAAATAATTATAAGAGTCGGTATATTATAGTCGTATGAAAACTCCAGACCTCAAAATTTAGTATTTTATATGAAATGGAGTACTTTCTTAATAATGGTTTAACATTTAAAAGACTGAAACTAATATTAAAAAATCAATATTAGTTTTGGTGTGGTATTTTTTAATTAATAAAATTAGAACCTGTGTTGAAATACTTATAAAAATTCTATTATTATTATTAAGATCTAAGTGTGATAGAAATTTTAATCACAAAAAAAGCTATTAAGATTTTAATTCTGAATTCCCTCGGGTAAAAGCAAAATATAATAGTGATACCGACTACCAATTGATTTTATCATCAAAAAATGTAAGTGGTTTATTTTTAATTAATTTTTATAAAAACGTTGTTCGTATAAATAGAATA